TTATAAAATTATAACTTATATTATAATTTATATAATTTATAAGTTATAAAAATTTATAACTTAAATTATAATTATAACTTATAAGTTATAAAATTATAATTATAAGTTTTATAAGTTATAAGTTATAAAATTATAAGGTATAAAATAAATTAAGTTGAATATTTATGTTTTATAATTTTGTATATTCAATATTTATATTTATATATTTACTTTATACTATTACTTTAAAATTTAATGTTTATGATTTATTAAATATAATTTTGTATTAGTAATTGGTATAATTTTTTTTTTTAATATGAATTTATAAATTATAACAAAATGGGAAAAAAAGGCAAATTGGACTTTGGATGTGAATAATGCGTACTTCATATTATTATTACTTGAGTTGAGAAAATTGTACAATGATAAAAATCGTACAATGATGGTATTAAACAAAAATTGGAAAATGATAATATTGATAATGATTAAAATCGTACAATATACAAAAATTGTCTATTCTTCTTCTACTTCTTGCTCGTCTTCGTCGTCGGCTTCGGCTTCATCGGCTAGTTGGATAGATTGGGAACTAGCCGAATCCGAACGGTCGGAAGCGGAGGTTCCTTCATCGTTGTCGTTGTCCTCATAAGAACGGTCTTGTGAGCGATTTTCCACATCCAGCCAATCTTTGAAACACACGCACATTTCTAGTGTTTCGGGTTTTAGACTTGTTCTTCTATCGTCCAGAACCCTTCCGGATGCGCTGAAAGCTCGTTTGGAGGCAACAGAGGAGACTTGGATACCAAGAATGTCTCGTGCCATTGCCGCCAAAGTTGGATGCTTCCCGCTTTGTTGTTTCCACCATGCAAGGAGGTCGAGGCTGTTTATCTCATCGTCGTCCATGCCTTTGGTGAAGTCGTAACTCAGGTACATCTGCAACTCCGAGACGTCGCTTTGCGTTCTCCTGATTGATGAATCACCTGAAACCCTTGAAATCAAGTTAGTAGCTTGTGAAAATAAATGTTTGGCCTTCTTACTTACGTTTTTGGATGGTTGGGAAGGCCCTGAGCGAGGAACGGTGCCATATTTGGCTTCATAGACTTTATATAAAGAAAAAAACTGATCCTTCACATTAGTCTTATAGTTTTCTACATCATCGTCAAGAAGCATGCATTGAAAGTAAATGTCAACTAACATAAATGTGTTTTCATACTTTTGCCTAGGATCTAATATGGATGCAAAAATATAAATCAAAGGAATTTCACTATAATATTTACGCCACTTTGTTTCCATTGCTGGAAGATACTGATCATAATCACTTTGGTTGCGATGATCAGCGAAAAGTTGGGCGAGTAAACATGCATTAGAAAGAAAGTTTTGAGCACAAGGATTGTAAACAGAAGAAAAACAATACGTCATGTTATATAATAACTGTAAAAATTGCATATATCTTTCACAGTTATACCAATCATCATCATATAAAGCAGTTTGTGGAAATTTTTGGTTGTAAAATAGTGTTAACGGGCCCTTGTACTCAATTGCCTTGGTTAACATGTCATAGGTGGAATTCCACCTAGTTGGGCAATCTGTTTTGATTTTTATTGCCCTTATCTTTTGTTGTCTTAGAAAACTCTTCCATTCTTGGTACCTCATGTTTGAGCTATTAATAGACATAATAGCATCTCTGATTTTGTTGTAGTATGGGCCAATTGCCCGAACTTCATCCTGTACACATAAGTTAAGTACATGGCAAACACATCTAGTATGAAGAGCATCACCGTCTAATATTATATCGGTTAAGTTTTGTTTGACAAGATTAGTTGTGTATGTCATAGAGGTTGCATTGTCAAAAGTCATAGACATCATTTTATCTCGAAGGTTTTATTCGTCTATTGCTTGCATTAAATGGTGAGCAATGTTAATGCCGGTGTGTGGGTATTCAAGCATTTTGAAATGTATTATTTTTTTTTGTAACAACCATTGATCATCTACCCAATGGAAAGTCACACATAAATAGTGATATTTATAACCACTATCCCAAGCATCGGCTGTCAAAGACACTCTACAATTAAGGTCCCTCAATTTGGCTTGTAACCGCAATTTGTACTCTAGGAAGTTTTTCATGGCGGCGGAACGAACAGTTTTCCTAGAGATTCTTTTATGTTGGGGTTGTAGTGCTTTGTTAATGTAAGTGTTAAATGGGTCACTTTTCGAGAAAAGAAAAGGTTGTTCGGCGTGTACTATCATTTTTCCTAGTTCATCCCTATCCCTCTCATAGTTGTAGGTAAAGCCGTATGGATGGAACTAGGAAATTTTTGGCTGGGTTGGATCACTAGCTGGTTGTGCACAAGCTTTCATGTGTCTACTTAAATGTCCCGTCCCGGATTTGGATACTGCCGAGAATACACCATTACATGTTTTACATTTTGCATGTGTTTGGGGTTTATTTAGGAGGAAACAACGCCATACATCACTCTTTCGGTTTTTCAAAAGTAGCATCTCAGTTTCGGTTAACCATTCATGATGTGTGTTTTGGTTAGTAGTAGTAGAAGAGGTAGAACCGGAGGGAATTTTGGTACTTTCTTGGCTACTTTGGCTAGAATAATAGTTTTGTTGAACACCAAAATAATTAGGTGGGAATTGACCGAATTGTAGGAATTGTTGTGGATTTTGAAATTGGTTTGATGGTGAAAATTGGTTTGGTGGTGGTGGTGGAAATTGGTTTGGTGGTGGTGGTGGAAATCCCGACATATTATAGGGTTGAAAACCGGAACTACCATCGTGCCTAAATGGCTCATAGCCCAGGGGGAAGTAATCGGGGTCATTGGTTGGACTCGGAATTTGGGGGCTCGTTGTATTAGGTGGTTCCCTAGAACTACTACTACGGCCAAGTCGGCCTTTCCCCCTAGATGACGGGTTGTTCGATGCCATAATTAACAATTAGATTTTTAATAAAAACTGATTAACAATAATAATAAGTAATAACAACAATTTTAACAATAAAAATAACAATAATAATAATTAATAACAACAATTATAACAATAACAATAACAACAATAATAAATAATAACAATAATTGTAACAATAATAATAATTAATAACAACAATTATAACAATAACAATAACAATTAACAACAATAATAATTAAACAAGATTATTCTAATAATAACAATAAAAACAATAATAAATTAAAGATTAGTTTAGATCTTACAACCGTGCTTCAACGCTCCACTAATTACGATTACGAACTTTTTAATTTTTTCCGATATTAAGAAAATAATTAGAGAATTTAAGGGAATTATTAGAGAATATAAGAGAATAAGAGATTAAGGATTATTAGAGAATATAAGAGATTAGAAGAAGAGATTGTGATTTTGTGATTTGGGAAGTGAATGGAGGTGGGTATTTATAGAAATTTTGGGGAGCAATTTGGCTAAAATATATCCGTTAACTAGCCGTTAATGGCTGTTGAAAAACGGTAATATTACTGTTTTAAACGGCAGGCACGCGGGCCGTGCCGTGCTGGGCCGTGCCTCGTGCCTGGCGAGCCGTGCCTGCGTGCCGTGCCCAACACCGTGCCACGTGCCGGGCCAACGTGCCAGCACGGCAGGCCACGGCCGTGCTCGTGCCTGGAAACCCAGAAGGTTGTCCGTGGCACGACCCGTTGCACGAAGTTCGATTGGCGTGCCAGGCCGTGCCGGGCTGCGTCGAACGGCGCGCCGTGCCGGGCGGCACGCGGGCCACCTCGGCCTGTGCCCAAGTTTAGACGGAGAGTTTGAGGTAAATGAATCTGGACGCATAGCTATCAAGTTTTTAAAAAAAATAAAAAATAATAAGTGTTGAGAAAGAGAATCGAACCTGTGATGTCTAGAAAACTATAAGCAACGCTCACCACTGCTCCAACCCATAAGAGTATCTGAATTTTTTTTTTAAAAAAATAAAATAAAAATAAGTTAGTGGAACGCTGTCTAATAAAATAAAAATAAGTTAGTGGAACGCTGTCTGACGCAGCGTTTCACTAACTTATTATTTTTTTTTTTAAAATCTGAAATTTGGATTTTTTTTTTTAAAAAAAAAAAGTCAATATGTAGAAAGTCAATATGTCCCATACAGCGTTTTACATATTCAATATTTATTTTTTAAGAAAATTTTAAATCAGAAATTACGAAATTTAAAAAAAAAAAAAAAAAAGTCAACATGTAAAACGCTCCTAGACAGCATTTTACAAATTGAATTTTTTTTTTTTAAAAAATCCAAGATATAAATGTGGGGTAGGATTCAAATTCTTACATTTTATTAAGAATTTGTAGGCTTTTGGTTTAGGTATGGATTAGATTGGTTCCATTAAATTTTGGTCTTAATTTTTGATTTGGTTGGTATCATGGTATGTCGGTTCAGCTCGTCAATCAGTTTTGCTTTGAGTTATCTAAGTTGATTATGTAACTTTAGTAAGCTTGAATGATATTTTACTCATGAATTTTAGTTTCATGCTACCGAGTAATTAATATTCAGTATCTCATTTTTATGTTTTCATCATTTTTTATGTTTATTCAATCTCACCTGTCTAAATTTAACATTATATATAGCTAGATAATCTGTCTTTGTAAGTTATTGTTGAAAACTTGAAATGAAATAGATGAATGATAAATCAAGTAATATACTTCGTATACGCATCACGGGTCCTAAATTACTCTCTTTGTTTAGTGATTAAATCCAATTACGCATCGTGTATTCGTGTGATCATCCAATTTTATACATGACGAGCTGTATAAAAAAATTGTATTCATAGTTTTGAAGATCATAGAACAGGCAGTGATTAACCAAAAATTAGAAATACGCTAAAAGAAAAAGATCCCGTATAATACACGATCTTTGCCAAAACTTTTATAATGAATTGCAACCTTTAGTTAGTTTTAAAATAATTTATATATATATATATATATATATATATATATATATATATATATTAAAAAAAAAAAAAAAAAAAAAACCTTGATTTTATACCTAAGTAATGACAAACGTGTAATATAAAATGTAAGACGAGCCATATCTCAGCAACATCTTGCTGTTATTACTGGGCAGCAAAGCATTATATACTTCTTCTCAATCTACAATCGGCAAGATCCACTGATGATTATACACTATCCTGATATGATTAAATGCTTTAGAAAGTCTGTTTATATCCAGTAGCTGAATCAAGAGCTCAAATGCTCAGCAAACTCAAACTGTGGTTCTCTTTACATGGGCGAAATAAACAAATGACCAAGTATGTTACATGACATGAAACTTATCTGCCATGAATACAGCTACATAGCCTACATTGATGGAAGCAGCCAAGAAAAGAAACCTAGCTTAGTTTCTCCCTTTGCACGTTTAGAAGCATAATCGGCCAACATGTTCCATAGGTCTCCAACAGTCCAATTATGGGACAGAATCCAATTACACACCTGCAATACATTCCCAAGAGAGTAGAATATAAGCATGTAAACTATCAAGTAATAATGCAATTCTGCAAATGCCAAAACAAGTTTCCAAAGATATGAACCAGGGGTTTTTATGAGGAAAGCAATTGATTACAAGAGCAAGCGAGTTTTAAAAGTAGAGACACTGTGAAGACGCTTGAATCATTTCCTTCACAATGTATGTAACCAAGGACATACCTGATCCACATTTTGCAATGCCTCCAATTCAAATGTGTAATATAAAATGAAAGGTCTCAAGGCCTGATACGGTCAAAAAACATCAGGAGCAAAACATTAGGTTTGGTTGAAAATGGAGAGAACCTCATTGATAAGAAGGAAAACACAATAGCATGGTTCTCCAACACTGCTCTAAGAAACTAATGCAGGAGGAAAAAAAAAAATACAGGGCTGCTTTCTCTAGCAACTCTTTCAAGTTATTGAAAGAAACACTAGCATAAAGCCTTCATACATTTAGGTCTCCCGGCACTTAGTGAATTTCACTATGTAAAACGTACATTTCATATTAACATCATAGGCTTCATGCAACTTCAACATTAGCTAGGCTTGTGAAAAGATTGTGACAAGTAAAAATCAGCATATACTTCAAGGTTCTAAGCATGTGTCAAGATATTTTGAATACATCATTATACATATAAGTTGGATTTGGTGTTCAAATAATAGAATGCCTATTTTACTTTTTGATTGAAATTTACAAGTACTCAGTACTGTATTTTTTATGTGAAGTTTAGCTTAACAGAACATATCTAAATAATTAAATTTAATCAGAAGAAAACTAAACTTAACCTGTAATATAGGTTTCTATAAGTTGCATATACTAGAATTTTGATAAAAGAGCAGTGAAGATAGAGAGATTAAAAATTTAAAACAGCCAAAGAAAGAAACTAAAACCAGTCATTTTATATTGATTGAACTAGCAGAACTATGATTAGAAAATTAAATGGCGATATACAACAGAGGGAACAGATGCATACACAGCAAACCAGATAAAAAACCTCTATAACTACTAACAGTAAGGAAACATTGTTCGATGTGGAATAAGTGAAGTATTACAGCTGATAATTGTCTAATATATAGAGTCTTGTTACAGTAATCATGTAAATTACCTTTCTCCAGAAGTATCCAACTTCCAACAATCTAGAAAAGCTGAAATTAACAGTGCTGGACAGAAGAGTCACCTGAGATGCAGCTAGCCACTGTATTACAGTCTTAACTTCAGGATCTCCACCAAAAGCACCACAGCCCCAGTTTCCAGTAGCAATCCCAACATCGCTATGATGCACTTGCAGCTTACTGTCCATACACTGAGTGGCTTCTGCTTCATCAGTGTCCACTGAGGTCCCACAGCCTTCAATTAACTGTAGATGGACAAATTGATCTTGAACCAGGTCAATCTGAATATTTAGCCTATGCTACTTGATAGCCAAAACACAATCTACTCCATCATAGTCTAGCAAAAGCAGTTATGAATTGGAGGGGTCCAAAAATAAAAGAAATAGAGAAAAATGAAGAGAGTAAAATAGCAAAGCATGATAGGTTCAAGAAAGTTGACTCCTTACGGTTGCTTGAATTTTAGACATGTTGGCGTCCATAAAATCATTAGCAGGATGAGCTTCACAAGAGTCATAATATTGCAATAGGGTCTGATACTCCTGATCTTTAGGTTGATCCAGAAAGCCACAGAATGCCTTGTTAACCTCTCTGTCAAAATTCAAAAAGTTAGCCGTGTCACCTTAATAACAGAAAATGAATTTCAGCAACTTACAAAGGAAGGGTATCTGTACATCTTAAAAATGTCCAAGAACCTATGACACCAACCCATTGCTCTCCATGATTGTTTACAAACTGTACATTTCTTTATTAACGATCCCCAGTTGACTGCATACACAATTTCCCCAAGAGCCCAAAAATAAATGTAGAAGAAACATCCATCAGATTTGGACTTTTTTCAGTGCAGCTTACTTGAAAAATATCAAACAAACCAGACCATCCCAAAGAAGATTGTAAAGGGAAGGAAAAGTGAAAGGTAAGCTTGCATTTGCAGGAACCAGTGCAACTGACACTTGATAGATGGAAGCCTTCCTTACTCAAAAACCTTAGCTAGACAAAGCCTAAATACAACTATCTATTAGTTAATGTCCATCCTAACTGGTAAAGAAAGCAATCAAACACAAATAGAACACTCTAACAACCTTGACCAAACATCTCAGTCCAGACTAGATAATTTTCTACAAAAATAAAAATAAAAATTCATGTAATGGAAGTAGCTTTCATAGGGAATATTCGTGTAGAAGCAACAGTCATCACATCCTTCTCTATAAGCTCTTTAGCTAAGTATCTGACATCCATTCCAGTGGCGGATAATTCTAGTGAACAATTTTATTTTATTAAGCTCCTTTTAGCGTACTTACAATCGTTTCAAATTTGACAGGACATAAGAAGCAATAATTTAATGTAAGCTCGTCAACTCTTTACTCATGAACAAGTTACAAATAAAGAAGCCAAACCTCAAAAGGCAGTTAGCTCTGTATTGTCTCAATCCAGGGCGAGACAATGCATCTATTGCAACAATTTTTGTTGTACGTCTTCCCAATGAATCTACTTCTCTCAAGTCCACATGGTTGCCAGCATAACGAAATGTAGAGGCGTATCTAGCAAATATAAAAAGTGTCATAATAAAATGATGCCAATTTATGATGCCACCTAACAAGTAAAATAATGTGTATAGAAATTTATGCTAGTAAAATTGTAGAAGAGCTATAAATTAAATCAAGCATGAGTGCATGACTTCAGTGAATTAAACAACTTCAACTTTAATCATTTTCATTATCATACCTTAATACTTCAACCTTAAAGAAAAAAGATTATATGAATTTATTCTCAAAATTGAAGTTACGAAGATACACGTATTTTACGGCAAAAAGGTTCAAAATTAGATTTTATCAGCACTAACCCTGAGTAGTTTGAGAAACGTTCTGCACCCACAATCTCTATCGCCTCATTGTCTGACATGGAAGGCAAAAAAAGTATGCCGGCAATCAATTCAGGATTGATCATGAAACGAATCTCTTCCTACAATAAGATTAATCACCGGCGAAACAGGCTCTCAGACAAGAGACTTAAATCAATGCAGTTTAGGATTAATGATCAAAGGTCATCCAACAAGAAAATTACAAGTTCCCAGTGGCGGATAATTCTACAACTTTGGCTAATTTCCAAACAAGATGACTAGTAGATCTATGAGTCATATATAGTTTACAAAACAAATGCATAAAAAAGCTCAAGGCGCACCAAGGCGTTTCAGAGTTTCCTGCGCCTCGTTGAAGTGAGGCGCATATGATAAACAATAAAAAAAAAAAAAAAAATCTGAAAAACTGTTGTGCGCCTCATCAAAATAGCTTCACCTAGACCATAAAAAGCGCATGAACCCTAATGCCTTGTGCCTCAGCGACTAGGCGTGCCTTTTCAAACACTGCACACAACTGACCAAAGACAAGGAATATGCTTCGACAGATGAACAAGTAATTTTTACCTTGCACCTAGGCATTGTAAAATAAAAACCGTAGAAACATGATAGTCATTTATAATTTGATAGCAGAATCACACCAGTAGTCCAGTATACAAGCAGATAGGCTACATATCACTCATTACTTATAGTAGTGCACTAGTCCATTATAATACATACCATCTAAAAAAAGCAGCACGATTCGTGCCTTTTCCTATGAAGAACCGTCTCAGGAATATCAGCTCACCTACAGCCACAAAGGTGTCATGATCTGACCTTGTGCATGAGGTGCCTTTTAAAACACTATATATGACTCATAGATCTACTATTGGAAATTAGACAAAGTTGTGGCATCAGGTTATAAATCTATCAATTTATATTTGCAGGAAATGAATCCTTACTAAAAAAAGGAAAAAAAATGAAATAAAATTAGGCGAGTGTTTCAATCAGACCACACGTAAATGATGCCCACTTGCTCTGTTGATTGTTCATAGACTCAATACCATCTTAAAATTGAGTATGACCTTAAATGCATAATCTAAGACAAAGGGTGTGATAAAGCATGTAAGGTGAAGGATTATAGCAGTGAGAGGGTGCTATGGACTAGATAAATCGGTTTGCTTGAATGTAACAGTAAGATAAGAAATAGAGGAAGGCTTAGATACTTTTGATTGAAATCTGAAAATAACGGCTACAAGAACTTTGGTCTAGCTAAAGCTTGACACTTGAAGAATACTACAACTACTGCTACTCTACTACTACTTTCTCCAATAACAACATGAACATTACTATTGCGTTGCTTCAGCTTCCCCTCCCACAAGGTACCCTAACAATTAAGGAACTTGTCATGTACTGCCAAGGTGGCCTTCACACACAAAATCAGTTGCCACACTTCTTAGTGGATCATGAACTCTTTTTGTCTTCTTGCTGCTACCAATTGCTGCTGCTACTGCTCTTGTCTTGTAGTCTTGTGCTTGTGTCTTCTCTCATAGACCCGAATTGGTTGTTGCTGGAGTGGGTCGACCCGATTCATAGCATTACTCCCCTCTCGGACATTCACCTTGTCCTCAAGGTGGAAAGATGGAAACCAAAAATTAATGGCTTCAAAGTCCTCCCAGGTGGCTTCAAAATCCGGCAGTCCTTGCCATTTGAGCAAGACCTCAGTACAAAGCTTGCCCTTGTCTTCTTTCCGACGCACTCCGAAGACCTCTTCCAGCTCGACTACTAACTCCAAGTCTGCTGTAATCTGATCAGGGAGCGTAGGATTGACTGGTGCATCCCCTACCTTTTTCTTTAATTGAGACACATGGAAGACCGAATGCACCTTGCTTCCCTCAGGCAGTTTCAAACGTTATGCAACCCTTCCAATGCACTGTAAGACTTCAAAAGGTCCATAATAACGAGCAGCTAGCTTCTCATAGGGGCGCTTTGCAATGGACTGCTGCCTATATGGCTGTAACTTGAGATACACCCAATCACCCACATCGAACTCCACATCTCTTCTCTTGCCATCCTTGTTCTCTCTCATTAACTGTTGTGCGCGATTGATATTCATGCGCAACTCATCCAACACCAAATCCCTCTCCTTCAACCCATCCTCTAAGCTCTTGACCATAGTCGAATCATCTTTCATCTTCCAAATTTTGGGCGGATCCCTCCCATAAACCACCTTGAATGGTGTCATCTTGGTAAACGTGTGGGGTGAAGTATTATAAGAATACTCAGCCCAAGGAAGCCATTGTGCCCAAGTCTTGGGTTGGCTAGCCACAAAGCACCGTAAGTAAGTCTCAAGGCACTTATTGACTACCTCCGTCTGACCGTCAGTTTGCGGGTGGTATGAGGTGCTGCGTTTGAGGTGCGTGCCTTGTAGTCTAAACAACTTCTTCCAAAAAATACTCATAAACACCTTGTCACGATCAGAAACGATCGATGCGGGAAACCCATGTAAGCGCACCACCTCCCTTACAAAGATGTCAGCCAAAAGAAGTGGCTATATTTAGACAGCCTATCTGTCTACTACCACCATCACCACATTCACTCCCTTAGAGAGTGGTAGACCCTCTATAAAGTCCATAGAGAGGTCATCCCACATTACTTCCGACACCAGCAGGGGTTGCAACAACCCCGCTGCCCCTTGATGAGATGTTTTACTTCTTTGACATACCTCACACCCACGCACATACTCACCTACTCTCTTCCTCATGCCGGGCCAAAACCAGTCCGCCGCGAGCCGAAGGTAAGTTTTTACCTCGCCATCATGCCCAGCCATAGGAGTGTCATGATACTCCTTCAATAATTTCAGAATGAATTTCAAATTTTTGGGCACCACTACTGACCCTTGTACAGAACTCTGCCTCCAGCCAAAGAAAACCCTTTGCACTCACTGGATCTTCCAGTTGCTTCTTAAGCTCACTGAGCCACTGATCTTGGGCTGTATCTTGCTCAAGGTCAGCCCAATCAACCTCCTGCGATGAAATTAAGGCCCCAAGCTGGGCTGGGCCTCCTCCTTTGCGCGACAGAGCATCAGCAACTCTGTTTGAAGGGCCCGGTTTGTACTGGATTTCGAAATCCATACCCATCAGCTTGTGCATCCACTTCTGGTACTCCCCTCCAACCTCTCTCTGCTGTGTTAAAAACTTCAAGCTCTGCTGATCCGTGCGAATCACAAAGTGCCTACCAAGGAGGTAGTGCCTCCACTTCATCACGGCTAAACTTATAGCCATTAGTTCTTTTACGTAAATGGACTTTGCCTGATTTCTAACCCCAAGAAGCTTGCTAAAGTAGGCAATTGGTCTTCCTTGTAGCATCATCACCGCACCTAAGCCATAACCCAACGCATCGGTCTCAATCACAAATTCAAGCTGAAAATTTGGCATTGCCAAAACAGGGGCTGTTGTCATAGCAGCCTTGAGCTCTTTGAAGGCTTGAGTAGCCTCCCAATTCCACCCGAAACTGTCCTTCTTAAGCTGAGATGTCAACAAGGCAGCAATTTGGGCATAGTGTGCCACAAATTTCCAGTAATAACCGGTGAGACCCAAGAATCCCCTCGACTCTTTTAAGTTCTTCGGTTCCTCCCACTCAACAATGGCCCTCACCTTCTCCATATCCATAGCCACCCCTCTCTCCGAAATCACGTCACCCAAATACGCCACCTCCTCTCTACCAAACTCACACTTCTTCCAATTAGCATACAAACTATGATTAGCCAAGGTCTCCAACACTACTCTCACATGTTCCTTATGTTCTTCCTCCTCTCTACTATAAACAAGGATATCATCGAAGAACACCAAAACAAATTTCCGCAAGTAAGGATTAAATATCTCATTCATTAGAGATTAAAAAGTGGTCGGGGCATTAGTCAATCCGAAGGGTTGTCTCTCATGTGTGCGAAATGCCGTTTTGTGCACATCTTCCGGTTTCACCCTTATTTGGTGATACCCAGACTTCAAGTCCAACTTAGAGAACCACCTAGCTCCATGCAACTCGTCAAGCAACTCATCGATGACCGGAATTGGGAATTTATCCGGCACGGTCTCTTTGTTCAATGCCCTATAATCAACACAAAATCGCCAACTCCCATCCTTCTTCTTCGCGAGAATCACCGGGCTAGAAAAGGGACTTGTAGAAGGCCGAATGATTCCGGCTTGAAGCATCTCATGAATTAACTTCTCAATTTCATCCTTTTGGATTTGAGGGTAACGATACGGCCTTACACTAACCGGATCGCTCCCCCCTTTTAACACAATCGAATGCTCATGGTCTCGTTTGGGAGGTAAGCCTACTGGCATTTCGAACACTTGCTGATAATCTACACTACTGCCAGAAATGAAGGGGGCTGCTCCCCTTCTTTACGTCCTTCCTGCTCCTCTGTTTTCTCACCCTCCAGCCTACTTAGCTCCAACAATATCCCATTCTTCTCCCTGCACAAAATACGGACCATGACCTTTAGCGAAATTTTAGTTTTCTCAAGTGATGGATCTCCCGTGATAGTCACCGGCATTCCCTTCACCCAAAATTTCATTACATGTGTCTTCCAATTAGTCGTCACTGAACCTAGCTTCTCTAATCACTGTACACCAAGAATTATGTCTGCGTTACCCAATTCAAGAGGCAAAAAATCTTCCACAACCGACACTCCCCCTTCCAATTTGACGCCGGCACTACCACCTCGGCCACCAATTTAAGCGCAATAAAATTGTGAGTAGCTCCGGGATCGATCATCACCACCGCCGATCGTCCCCCTATTGTTCCTCTCAACTTCATGGTTTTTGGGTTGGAAATCCCAATCACAGAACAAAGGGAAACTTCTATCTCAGTTTCCTCCACTACTTCTGTGTCTCATCTCCTTCTGCCACCATCAATACACTCATCTCCTTCCGTTTGCATCTATGACCCACACTCCACTTCTCATCACACATGAAACAGAGGTTTTTCGCTCTTCGTTCTTGCAACTCGGCCTCTGTCAACCGTCGGGTTAGGTGGTGCTCTTGTTTTTCGTGGATCCTGTTGTGTTTGCCATATTTACTGAGGCTGTGATTCTGATGGTTTGGTCCAAGGCTTAGTTAACCCCATATGGTTTGGTATCCTATAGATTTGGATGAGCCCAAACCCACCAACTTTGTTTAAGCTACAAGGTTGATATGTGTTCTGGGCCGCCCAAACTTAGGCACTCCAAAGCTTGCCTTCTTGGACTAGCTAACCCGATTTTTCTCTTCAATACGGCCCACCAATTCCATAACCCCTTCCAAATTAAAAGGATTCAACATCCTCAATCCGGTTTTAATTTCTCCTTTGAGCCCGTTGATGAATTGGCCCAACATGAGGGTTTCAGGTATACCCTCCAATGAGGCTGCCAACTCGATGTACTTCCTCCTGTACTCCTCCACCGTTCCCACTTGTTCCACGGCCAACCACTGTCCATACAACGACCCCGCGTGAGACGGCCTGAACTCGTATTATAGTCGTTGCTTGAGATCCAACCACCCCACATTGGCCTCCTTTTCTTCTCCCATTGATAGCACTTGAGCGTCGTTCCGTCCATCGCTACCATCAATGCCTCCAACTTCTCTCTCTCCGTTAAGTGGTAAAACTCAAAGAACATCTATGCTCGCACTATCCAATTATCCGGTTCCTTCGAAAAAAAGGCATCTCCAATTTCCGGTGCTTCCAGTGGCCGCCGCCACCACCAGCCAGTTCCTAGGCTCGAACTGGTCCTCCTCGCCATGCCCTTCTCCCCGCCAACCTCTTAACCCTTTCACTGCAGTTCGGACTTCATTCTCTCCTTGGGCTTGGCTATTTTCTCCGTCAAGGTGGAGAACCGGTTGGACTATTGGTGGTGGTCGATTACCCTGAGCACCAGCCGCTGTTTTCCTCATCTCTTCCCGAAATTTCTGGTTATTTTCCTTCTCAATCGCTGCTAGCCTCTCATGGTCTGTTCGAAAACGGTCGATTCTAGCCTCCAACCGAGTGGTGGTGTTGGCTAGAGCTTCCTCCGACCGCTTCCTCTCCGTCTCCAACGCCTAAGCCACGGCCGCCTGCACCACCCTTCCGATGACAGCTTCTTGTGAGTCAAACCGCCCTTCAATGGCTTTGAGTTGCGCTTCCTGAGAATCGAACCTCCCATCCATGGCCGTGAGCTGAGTCTCCAAGAGTCTCTCCTCGACTGCCTCCACCCTCACTGTGAGCGAGGTCACCATGATCGACCGCTCTGATACCACTTGCTATGGACTAGATAAATCGGTTTGCTTGAATATAACAATAAGATAAGAAATAGAGGAAGGCTTAGATACTTTTGATTGAAATCTGAAAATAACGGCTATAAGAACTATGGTCTAGCTAAAGCTTGACACTTGAAAAATACTACAACTACAACTACTGCTACTCTACTACTACTTTCTCCAATAACAACATGAACATTACTATTGCATTGCTTCCTCTTATATACTAAGCTTCCCCTCCCACAAGGTACCCTAACAATTAACTTGTCATGTACTGCCAAGGTGGCCTTCACACACAAAATCAGTTGCCACACTTCTTAGTGGATCATTAACTCTTTTTGTCTTCTTGTTGCTACCAATTGCTGCTGCCACTGCTCTTGTCTTGTAGTCTTGTGCTTGCGTCATCTCTCATAGATCCGAATTGGTTGTTGCTGGAGTGGGTCGACCCGATTCATAGCAGAGGGAAGTTTCCCCGCCACTCCAGCCTGTCGTCCTGTGTCTCTATGCATAAAGTATTTCAAGACCCATTACATCAAAAATTCAAATAACTTCACATCTGATTAACCAAAAAAAAAAAGGTTTGAGAAGAGCAATCAGAAAGAAAACCTTTGTAACAAAATCCAGAAATTTTTTAAGGTGAAGGCTTCAAAACATACACTAGAGACAAACACCTAACCAGAGAATTATAAATTAAATTGTATGATACAGATTAGACAAATTAATGTCATTTGGTTAAAAGCATATTGAGCATCCATATCTTCAAAAGGTGTAGTCTAGCCTACCTGAACACAACCCTTGGATAAAGCACCACCACCAAGCTTCTTGTTTGCAAAATCAACTTCCAGAGCCCCCCTCGACTGGTCTTCTATCAAGCCTGAAGGGAAGATCTTTCACAGGAATGTATGAGTTCGAAAAGTGTTACATTGTTTAATACATTGTCAGAAGTAATTGTAACCAAATCCTGCAGTAGATACTCTAGTACAACTAATTGTTACCTCAAACAAGCAGAGGGGAACTACAGAGTTGGCCCAGAAATCAGCAGTGGGATAAGAAACAAGAGGTAAATTATGCTCCAGAGGAAGAACTTTCCTTTCAAATGAAACAAAGCCCGTCGGTATACATGAATGTATCCTCTCAAAATAATGAACAATGCATTTGATTTTGTGCTCTTGACTTTTGCTGTATTTTTCATACAAAATCCTGAAAATATATATTTTTTTAAAAAAAATTAACAAATGTGTAGCATTCATAGAATCAGAAGAGTTAAATTAAAGAGAAGCAATGATAGAAGATATAGACAACCCAAAAAAAAAAAGGAAAAAAAAAATTAAAAAAATGAAGTTTAGGAATAGGCGTGAATTGGAAAATATTGAGCTAAGTCAGCTCACAAAGTTGCAGACTACTTACATTTAACCCAGTTTCCAGTGAACTCGACTCCAATTCACACTTGAGTCATACTTGGTAAAAGCATCAACTTGTATTGAAGAGCTCGTAAACAACTTGATAATTTATTATCGAGTTGGATGGGAGAACCTTTGAACATTCTTTTTTCATAAGTAGGTAAGATGGCAACTCAATACTCAGAGCCATTTTTCAAATTTCCAAGATAATTTTGAAGTGGCAAAATCTCTCCCTTAATTCTGTTACTTCAAATGAGGGATATATTAATATTACATCCTACTTGCTATATAACGAGAGAATTGTACTATAAACAGTTCTGAAAATTAAAAAAATAAATAAACATATCTTATATTTCCTCTTTGTTTATCATAAAAATTCTTCTCTACAAAATAGACAGAACTAATCTCCTAACCATATTTCCACAATTTTCCACTTTATACATAATTTGAAAATATTCAATTTTTGGACAAATGAATTGCTTTATCTTAATGCGGTTACACCATTTTGAAAATGACTACCTACAAACCTTTTACCACAATCAAACCAATTATAGTTCCATTGTCTCTCCTTGTAGTTCGTAACTAGTATAATGTAAAAGAAAATTAAATTATTCTTTATATTAAGTAATAGGGTAATATGAAAAGAACATCATCAAATATTTTTATTGTATTAGGAGTATGTTTTTTTTTTTTTTAACAAAAAAAAAAGGAAAAGGGAAAAGATTAAAGGAGGAGACATGTGTTGTTAAAGGTTTCGGTTTTATATACTAGGTATAGATTACACTATAAGTTGTATTTCTTATAATTTCTATAACATTTATTATATTTTAAATATTTTTTGTTTCTTCAAAAAGTTTAAATCACTTAATAAAATATTATATATTTTTCATTTAATTTAAAAGGAGTAAAAGAATATAAAGCTAACATAAAAATAATAATGATTTGAAAGGTTAAATAATTTGTGAAATTAATCCTTAAATAGAAGTTATAGCCTTATAGGGTTAATGTGACCCTTCCATTTAAAAAATAAATAAATAAATAAATAAAAAAAAAATTGATTTGTGCAAAAAATAGAAATAAATACAAAAGCGAAGTAGAATATGAAGGGTGAAACTAAAAATTTCCACCATGGTTTGTAAAATGAAAATTTTGAAACAATCAGAGAGAATGCGTTTGAGTTTGTTAAAACCAAAGGATGAAATTAATAAAAATAACAACAAAAAGGCATGACGGTTTTAATTTAAGGATAAAAAAAATGGCATGTTGGTTACTTGGTTATTTAAAAAGTGGAATACAAAAGTTTGAAAGGACACATGGCAGCTTGTAAAGATATTTTCCTGTTTTTAAATAGAAGTATAGATGAAAAGAGATGATGGTTAATATGGATTAAAACAGAAATATAAGGGTACAAAAATATATGATGGTTAATAAAAAAAACATAGAAATACAAGGAACAGAGGACGCGTGGCGCATAATTGGAAATGTTCCTATTTAAAAATATTAGTATGGATATGGGAAGATATCAACTTTGGTTTAAGATGCATTTAGGGTTATCATTTATGCATGCCTACATAAGAAAAATCTTACATTCCGCATGACATCTCATACAACATGATATTTCATGCATTTGTGCTTCGTACAAGCATGGTGGACCTGATTCTTAGCCAAATAAATCTCATATTGGCTATAACTCAAATCCACATAATCTTGCTTTAGAAGACCTAACAATCACAATGCCTCCTTAACTCCTATGCAATAGCCATGTATGCGGCCACTTTGCCAATCTAAACATTTAACTAATTAGAGTACACAAATTTTCATATATGGTTGGTCATACGGTGCAGCCGGGGTTACTCGGTCGACCAAGGGTTACTCGGTTTATTCTGTTAGGGGTTACTCAGTCGGTGGTCGGTGTTTGGTGTGTATCAGCTTGCCGCACGGTGTAAAGTATGGTGTACTCTAAGCACTAATTAGTAGTTAATCATTGTTATCTAAAACATATAAATCAACGAAGCCACTTATTTGACATATGTCTCCACCAAAGCACACACCTGTGTCAATTGTACCTTTTCAAGTATCTTAAAATCCACTAATGCCTTACCTAGGTTTGCATGAGCCTTGTAACAAACACTAATCGTTTGTTAAATGTTTAGAGACTTTGGACTTGTACAAACTATGTCATACATAAAATTTGCCAATTACACTAGCATAATGTACATTTTTATGCATGCCTTATCTATAGTGGGAAGAGGTTTGCAAAGATCCTAACATGTAAAGCCAGTGGAAGTCATCACCGACTTAGAACCATTCATCTCAAACCTTTAATAACTTGTTTCATTTAAAAATTCTAAAATAGAATAATTTTCGGTTTACACTATCCATACTAATCTTCAAATCTTCCCCAAAGTTAAGAGTTTTTAGCAATAAGCACGTCATCCTCATACAAAGAAGACAATAATCATCTCCACAAAGCTTACGAATGTATAAACAACAATCGTAATTACCTTTGGAAAAACCTTACTTTGACATAAAGAAGTCAAATAGCTTAGACCACTTTGTAAGGAGATTCGGTCTATAATGTGATTTTTTTTCCTTACCCTCCACCAATTTATACATATAGGTTCCTCACCGAAGTCACCATGTACAAAAGGTTGCCTTTACATCAAGTTGTTGCAACTCAAGCTCTCCATGGGCAACAAGACTCAATAGCACCCGTAAAGAATTATGATACCACCATTGATTTTTTATTTTTTTTGCAATCAAAACCTTCTTTCGGTGCAAAACCCTTGGCCACTAGCCTAGCCTTATACCTCATTTTATCAGACTTGGTATAACCCTCATTTTTTTTAATACACCCACTTGCAGTACTTCCTCTGTTCCCCTAATATTGCAACATGGGGGGAGAACACAGCAACCAATCAACTTTCTTTATCTTTGTCTTTAATAGCTTGTTTGAAGGTGACAAGCTCAACATCCTCCAAAAGAGTGCATATCCCACCAATTTTATCTTACTATATTGCCTCAGAGAACTAAACTTTTAATCCTTTGTGCCAGTTTGGCCTATTAGTTGCCAAAGATTCTTACTGTTGTTGTAATCAATATGCATTTTCTTATTAGATCTCCTTATGATCAAGTTCATCCTACTCATTATCTTGGCCTACTAGAATCCGGTTATTCTTTAGATTTTATCTCAAACTACTTTGAGTGTTGGAAGTCCTAACATCACCATCATTAGGCACCATAGCTTTAAACAATGCTACCATGGATCTTTTAATCCTCTACATACTAAAGGCAATAGCCTAAATCCCCTTTGGATACCGACTCTTTTATGCTTGTTATCCTTGAGTGATAATATGGTGGGCTCCATCAAAATAAGAATGTGGGGATTGAATCACAATACTCCGTATAATAAACCATACCAGCTAACCCAGAAACACTTGCATCAACTTTTCTTCATTTCTTTAATCAAGCTTTAAGTGCTCATGGAGCCCTAAAGCCTTTATGTCCTTTTTTAAACCCTCAATCCATGTCATATTTGGCCTGCCTTGGCTTTTATTCAAGTCCCCATTCTTGTTTGTTCTCTTTTATCACTTCACAAAATGTATCCTAGATAATATCACTTTACGGATTTACTCCTATACTAGCATGGATAACCTATTTTGTAACAACCCATCAAAGTACTTCCTTAAGTATCTTATCATGCACCTTCTTTGACATATCTATGAAGACCATATGCAAGTTAATGCAACCCTTGGCCTTCAAGCCCTATCAATGAAAGATGACACAATCAAATAAAATATACCCATAAAAGTTTAGATCAAGCAAAGGAACTAGTGAAGGCAATTTCATCTAAATTTACATCATAAGATATCAAGCTCTAAATAACTCTCCAAGCAACTCATCCACCAACATATTACGAGGAGTTTTGATAAAAAGGCTTTTCACTTCAATAGAAGTTTTAATCATGAAAAAGTGAAATACAAAATTATTTGTGATAGCTCCACAAAGCAAATACATATATAAAGAACCAACTCTAAAATGAGAAATAAGAACCAACTCTAAAATGAGAACTAAGAACCAAATCATTGCATTAAAAGTCAGACAATATAACATTATAGTAAATCATATTAATTCAATAGTGCAACTCTTAATCACATTTTTTTAATGCTTTTAATGAAGGAAAGAATTAATAATCATTTTTGTTATTTTCTTTGATAAAAAAATGTTTTAGATGAATTTATGTTGATTTAACTTAAAATAAAGAAAAAACTAGTAAAGTAAATTAAAAATAGTCAAAATAGTAAATGAAGTCGCATTAAAAGTAATAAAAATCGCGAACGAGGTGGACGAGTTGCAAAATTATGAAAATTCCATTATTGACATGGGAATCATATAGACCATTCTGAAAATGCCATTAACGAGGTTCTTTGTAGCCATTTTATCCCCCTGCCCCCCCCCCCCCTCCCCTAACCTCTCTGAACAAGAGCTAAAAAAAATCTAATATTAAATACTTCAACATGATATTTTGTATGCAGTCAACTTTTTAAAGCATTGGGTTACACAAAAAGTTCAGAAATACTGCTCACATACATACACACTTGCACATCCATCAAGAAAGAAAAGTGATAACATACGCAAATAGTCTATCAAAGTTGATCACTGGTAAATGGTTGGCACCTCTATTGGCACTTGGAAACAAGCAAAAGAAGGAGCATGATAGCAGGGCAGCAATAAGCTCCTGCACAGAAACATAGAAGCTTACTGTTAAAAGAGCTCTTCACATTACAGATTATGACATGCAGGAGTGAAAACAAAACACTACTCTTACAAGTGCCAATGCAAACAATAATCTACAAACTATAATATTATACATATGGCTGATACTCACAACAAACATCACTCACTCTTCACCATGAAATCCAACACCAACTGCACAACATTACACTGTAAGAGCACATGTAAATTTCACTTTTTATCCCTATAGAAATGCTCTAGCTGTACATTCTCTAATTTTCTTGGTAAATTCCTTCTAATATCCTGAACAAATTTCAGGGATGATGAATTACATAGAGACATGAATGACATCAAGTAGATATTTTCTTCAGTCCTTAACTTAGAGCATCGCTGCTCCCTATGTTTTCTTCTTAGGATTGGTATGAATTTAAAAGTCAAAAGTTATGATGCAACAGAGATACATGAACTTAAAGTCAGATGCAGCAGCAATACATACTTCTTGATATTTTCTTGGCAAAGAGAGGAAATGTTTTAGGTATAAGAAAAACCTACTCGGCTACTCCCTCTGTCCTAAAATCGTTTTTAGTAAGAGCTCTAACTATTCTCAAAAATTGAGATCTGCACCTATCACCCTCTTTTTCTCTCATCAATACAGTCATTTTGATATATAATGAGCATTAATGCAATGTAGCTACACACACACACACACACACACACACACACACACACACAAAAAAAAAAAAAAAAAAAAAAACCTGAAAAAAATAATAATTAATACTACTATATAAAATTAGACTACACACAAAATGAATGTTACTAGCAACTAATGGTTTCACTGTCATCAATGAAAACAGCAGGTGAACATTTATAAAAATAGTGAAGGTCATGTTGTCTAAATCAATGCTTCTGTTGTGTGAACCATTTTAACCATTTTTACATTTAAATAAAGATAACAAAAAATTGTAGGTTACCTGACTAAGGAAAACAATGCCTGGTTGTTGTGAATCCAGTAAGCGAAGGCCTGTTTCAAGTCCAACCATAATAATGTCTGCATACTGATAATGAGATTCTAAAAGAGTAGGAAATCTTAGTAACAAATCAGCCATCACAGGGACTACCTCCCCAAACCATTTTGCTGCTTCAGCCCTTGACAAAAACTGCAAAAAAAGGTTACACCCTAACATTTTAGTTTCTACATTCAACCAAACACCATCTAGTTTATCTTTGATACAAAATGATTTAGCTAACACCACCACAAGCGCGTTTCCATGGGGATACTCAGGGAAAGTTTATACATCAAACATCACATTATAATTCCACTTTCATCAAACTATGAAAATCAACAATCTTTAAGTAAATATCAAATCAAAATTACAAGAATTTTCAACTATGTGTTCTGTAACTCAATAATCCAACCAAACAAGAAATCATCTACCTCCTTCTATCTAAACCCTCAAATCTCAATAAACCCACATTAAATTTTCAATATCATAAACAAATATTCATGTCAATGCAACATTCAAATCAATTAAATGCATGCTACAAAATTGCACCAAAAATAGAAGAGAAAAAACAAAGAAGTAACCTCATCAAAGAAAAGGGCATATCCATCAGCAGCGGAGGAAGCCAAAATGTGAGGAGAGAGAGAAAGAGAGTTCCTAAGATCAGAAATGGCGAGGAAGAGGACTTCTCCTGAGTCAACTTGGCTATGACTCGGGCCTTTAGAAAGCGACTTCAGAGCTTCAATTACTGGGTTTGGCCATACTAGATGAGATGATTCAAGCTTCAATGGAAGATATGGTAGAATTGATTTCAAATCTTCCCGATTTTCCATTATTGTTTCCAGCAAATTTCTTTGTAATTGACTTTAATTCAAGTTCATTTCAGTATATGAAGTTATGAAGAATTGGTTGTTCTTAAATTTTGCTGGCTTGGTTAAGTGATGTTTATGAACGTGCCTCGGCTACCTAGAGAACGTTTGGCATCATAACTTCATAAGGAATTAAGGAGTATTAAATCAATTACAACCTCTTACGGTTTCATTTTTTATTTCAAACTCATACGATATACGTAGTACAAAGTACTAGGGTATTACTTTGTGAATCAAATGTCCTTTATGGACATGAGTCAAGCCGATCAAGCACAACACAAAATGGCCGCACCCGATACGTGTTTGCCATAAATTTGACATGGGATAACCATATAAGAGGCATGCTAGTGAGGACGACGATTCTATGTATGGACATCAATTTCAAAAGTTGGCATGAGCAAAGGCACAAACGCAATAGGTTAGCCCACTTTTTCTTTAACTAATTAACCAAATATATAAATACTACTTCGTACAAAGGAGGCCCATTAGCGTGGCAAGTGGGTTAAGCATTGCATGAACTTCATTTTTTTTATCGTTCAACACAAACTCAACATGGTATGATTTTTTTCTTCTTTTTTTTTTGCTCATTCTAGACACGACTCACTTGAGCATGAGGCATGCGTTGCACGATATGTGGAATGTGAATCTACATGACCACACCTGTGCCCACCCAGAGGCATTCCCAAAAGTCTCCATTATATATATATATATATATAATATTCATTTAGCATTCATAATCTTTAATTACTTAGAAAAACTATGGTAGTATTCTAGTATTGAAGAATGGAAATGAAGGTATCAACTGATATAGTACATTTATGATTCATTACTTCAATTGTATTACTACATCATATTATCCTTGCAAATGAGGTTAAATAGGTGGAATAGTTACATCACTCCCCAACTCGTACCCCAAATGTCTAGTAGGGATTAAACCTCATAAGACTCATTTGAAGGATTTTCCTTATCAGCACATACACATTGTGCTTGGATTATCAATCCTTCAAGTTTTAGGGGGTGATTGGGTAGAAATTGTGATAAGTTAAAACACCATTTGTATCAATGGATCTATGGAAAAGGGAAAGAATAAAAGAACGGGTATCAATAAGGATAGAATAGTTGAAATTTGTTATTTACTCTCAATCTATTCTCAATACCAACAATGTAAAAGAATGTTAAAATTTTAATAAAATCCCCATTAACATCTCTCAATACATATGTATGTAATCTCTAATGTGCAAACTCTTACTTTAGTGTACTATAAGCCTTAGCAATTTTTGGTTGAATACTATATGACATCATTTAAAGTAAAAGTTACACAAAGTATAAGTTAGAGTTTGGCAAGTAACGAGGTGAATATAAAGATAATATTTTGTACCATAATAAGTTGTTGGCATGTATGGTTATTAGGTGGTATTGGCCTAATAGTCCTTTGTACTCTTTTTTCTCCACTCCATGACTAATGAGCCAACATCTACAATGTCATGCTCTAATGTGCAGAGGATGCTAGTGTGCACTTAGTATACTAACGTTTTATGCTATTGTTTATCCAACAACTAGTATTAGACATATAATTACACCTCATATTATGTAAGAGTGAAAATATCACAAGTTACATCTCAACAATATAATAAGTCACTTCTCAATAATATAACAAGTCATTATTTAAGCGATACAAGAATCGCAAATCCACCCTCTGAACCAAAGTGTATTTCCATAGTGTTGACTTAATACACACCAAACTAAAAAAAACAAACACATAAACCATCTTCTAGAGCATATCATGCCATTTGCTGAGAAGCAAAAACATAAATCACCTCATCTTATGTACGAGTGTATGTACGAGTGTAAAACGCAACAAGTCACCTTTCAACAATATAACAAGTCACCTCTCAACAATATAATAAACCGCCACCCAAACAATCCAACAATTACAATTGACCCCCGGAGAGGCCAAGATTAGTGCATCTCAATTCTCAATTTCTCACCATAGTGTTGACTTCATATACCCCAAAAGTTAAAAGAAATCAAGAACAAATCATTTGATTAGGTGAGAACAAACAAAGGCATGAATCATCCGCGCACACACAGCACACCAAGGCTCGAAGCATGCCGCTGAAGTTGCGCAGCCTGCTATAAAATCTCGCATTGATTTGTTTCACTCCAACGCACTCACCCCAACACATCAATCAACTCACTCAAACACACACAAAAAGAAAAACTCAGCAAACCAAATTAACCAACAATGGCTTCATTTGTAGCTTCTCAATCTTGTTTCCTAACTACAAACCCCACTTTTTTACCTCTCAAACCCACCTCCCTTCAACAATCTTCTGCCTTTCTTCGATTTTCTGCTCCTCTTTCCTCTTCTTCCTCTTTTCCTGGTTTGTAATTTTCACTGAATTTTTGGTCAAAATTTTGATAAATTTTAAAGGGTAGTTTTAGAAATTGCAATTTTTTTGATTTCAGGTACTGGGTTGGTTCATGTTGCATCAGAAAAGAAAAATCGGGCATCATTTGTTGTGACCAATGCTGTTAGGGAGCTTGAAGGTTATGTCACTAAAGCCCAGAATTTCCGATTTGCCATTGTCAGTTTTTTCTCTCCCTCTTTTTATGCTGTTTTTTTTTTTTTTTTTTTTTTTGATTAATTTTTTTGGCAGAATTTTGATTATGTTTAGTGTAATTTGTTAGATTAGGTAGTAAGTGGGTATTTTCACATTGAGGTTGACATGTTGTGAGATTGCTATATTGCCTATATATATACCAGTGTTGGCAATGTATATTGATTTGCATCTATTGATATTAGATTGAAAAGTATTGGAATTTAGTTTGACTTATAGGAGTTAGGGGGAATTTTGAATAAATCCATTTAATTTGTTATTGATGATGAAATGGTGGCAAATGTTTTAGTTACATTATAAAATTTTGTTGATATTGATGCAATATTATTACAAGGATTGTGATATGCAATGATGGAATTATTATACTGATGAGAATGAAAATTTGGAGATACCAACATTTCAGACCTTGGCTTCCTTTTTCTCTTTTTTAATACAGAGAAATGGGTGGTAATTAGATAGGGAAATAGGGATTACTCAGCAAATAACATTACCGGGATGAGGCGTTTGGGGGTTGAGGGTAGGGGGTAGGTGGTAGGTGGTTTGGGTATGGTTATACTGAAGTAATGCAGTTGATAGATTTAAAGGCAGATAAAGGAAAAGTCTTGATTAGTTTCGAGGCTTTAGAGGGATTTTGAAAATCGATTACTGATTGAACTCTATCTGATGGATCTAAAGAATGATAAAGAGATTGCAAATTGTGGCTTATGATGTTTATGCTCTTTCTGCCAACTAGAGTTCAAGGATACTTGGCAGAAGTCAAAGCATCAAGCATGTGTGTACTCTATTTGTGTTGCATGCTGTCTCTGATAAGATGATAATAATACTCCTAAAAAACAGGCTTTACACTGGGAACAAATGCAATTAAAGTTTTTTGTTTTGTGACTGAATTTCTTTGATGAGTAAACCATGATAGACATACTAGCAGCTGGAAACTTTTGTATAGAAAGGACTCTGGCCCTGTTTGATTTGCCTGACATACCTGATCAAATGTAAATTCTTCTGATGTAATGTGATACATATAATATGAGATGATATGAGCTAATCCAAACTTTTCTAAATTGTGAAGATTATTTCTAGTGTAAATTTTACGACCTATTTTAAAAGTTTCTTATTTGATTTGATATGGACTTCTATTAACTATGTATATGTTAAAAGGGTGAACTAAACAAGACCCAAGTGGCAGTATTTAAAGCACTTAAGGCCTATATATATCATGTCTAAATTAAAATAGTCTTCAATTTTGCCCATCTATTTCCTGCTGTTTAGATTGGGCCAAAGAATATTCTCAATTACTTGGGTGAAAAGGAAGGAAAATGTGTATCTGCATCACAGAGTATTAAAATAAAGAAATAATACAACTTAATTGAAAATTATGCAAGCAAAAGGGGAGCCAAAAATGAAATGTGAGCGTCTAGTGCGGGAGAAGGGTATATGCAAGTATTTAAAATTAGGTAGGGAAGAGAGAAGGCATGCTTTCCCAGATATTTGTGACTGACGAAGAAAGAAGTCATGTGATAATATAATCTGACATATTCTCTGCAGTCTTGAATTTGAACAATTCTGTAGAGCATGGCTTATTGGTCTAGTTCTCCTTTCAAATGCTATTAGATTGACACTGGCTTCTTGGAAGCTGCAGCAGTGACTTAATGAGCTAGTGATCTACAGGCTAATTGTAAGATAATAAGATTATAACGATACTGAAACTTGTAGATGTGGCTGTTTAATCTGCAGAACGAAAGCTTTACCAGAATAAGGGAGAAATTTGGATATTAGTTCCCTGTGTATAGGTGCCTCAACATTAATTTTACTCATACTTTTTTCATGTTCTGGGAATTGTTATACATGATTAGGCATTACGTGACCATAATTGCTGAAAAATATCATTGGTTTTGAGAATTGTTGTACATAATTAAGTCTTAGTTTTATGGGGCATTATAGAACCTGATAGGTGTCTGTTTGTATCTCTAATTTTTCTATGTTTTCTTCTTTTATTTAAGGTTGTGGCTAGGTTCAACGAATTTGTGACAAGGCGGCTAATGGAAGGAGCTCTTGACACTTTCAAGAAATATTCTGTCAACGAAGATATAGATGTATGTGGCTGCTCTACGCCTATGTTGGCTATGTATATTTGTGACCAGGTTTTCCCAATCTGTGCAATGTGTTTATGCCATCAGCACTTTGCACAGATAGAAAGGGGTAGAAAATGAAAGTGCCTTTTTCTATTTATAACTGGATAAACTGATGGAAGATGGTGCATTAAGTGCTTAATGGAAGACCTTTTCTGTTGAGTACTTGTGTTTTCTGTTTGAATTTTAATGACCTATTCTCTCTCTCTATATGGTGGAGCTACTTGAAGATCTCTGTGTTTATTCCCCAATCCCCATAGCACATGCCCTAATAATTTCAGAAAGAAACATGTTCAAGTTCTCATCTTTTTAATTGTTTCAAGTAGTCCTTTATTAATATCAATATGTAACCAAACTTTTCTTTTATGATAGGTTGTTTGGGTTCCTGGTGCTTATGAGCTAGGTGTAACTGCACAGGCACTTGGACAATCTGGAAAATATCATGCTATTGTTTGTCTTGGAGCTGTGGTAGGTCCCTGGCTTGTGCTAGAATTTCATTGCATTGTTTTTATTTAATCAAATCCATTCTAAATTATCCTTCCTGCTCCTTTACCAGTTAGAATGTGACCTAGGTTTAGCATGGCCATTTAGTCATGAGAATTGTAATTTAGGGCTGTCACAATTACTTTATTTCCGATGTTGAATATGTTTGATACACTTGATTCCCAGCACGCATTGGACTCACGTACCAACTTTCTCAATCTTCCTAATGCTTCTTTTTCTCAATGTTAATATCCGAAAAGTGGCTATTATGGGGTATTGTGGGTCTTTCTTCTTTATGTGCAATATCATGTGCATGCTTCATCATTGTATGTGGAAAGAAATCCAATGTCAATGGCTATTATTTCTCATAGTATGTTTATGTACATTTTGTCTCTTATTGGAACCATATCTGAATTGTTCTTGAGCTGATTATGTTCCATCCTTGTTGGCAACTTTAGGTAAGAGGTGATACTTCACACTATGATGCTGTCGTTAATTCTGCTTCCTCTGGAGTACTCTCAGCTGGATTAAATTCAGGTAGAACTTCTTAGTCCACATGATATTGGCATTTGCCAGAAAGACAGTTTACTTGCAGATGCATATTTCTCTAATGCATTTCTCCATTTAGATGTCAGTCAAAAGTAATTGTTCCTGAAGTGCAAATCATAACTCTGAAAATTTTGTCCTTGTTCATTGCATGTTACTGATAAGGATAATTGTAATTTTGTTGTTCTTCGCAGGAGTACCTTGTATCTTTGGTGTCCTTACTTGTGATGACATGGATCAGGTAATTTATTCTGACCCCCTTTTTTCCTCACTTCAAAATTTTAGCTTTTTTTTTTTTTTTTTTTTTTTTTTTTTTTTTTTTTTTTTTGAGGAAACTTTTTTAGCATACTATCCAAATATAACGAATGTAATATCATCTGTCTTTTGTCACCTGCAAAAAGTTGTATGCTCACTGATAACATCTAAACCTCTTTGTTGCCTGAATGAATTATAATAGGACCCATGATACTGCCAACTGATCAGTTTGTCCCTTAGATACTAAATTACTACGGAGTAATGTGCTGTTGATGCTAAATCATTTTGTTTTAACCATAAGCCCCTTATGATTTCTGCCTTAACCCACTGATGAAGATTTATTCAACTGCATTTGTGTTTAGCTTTCTTTCTTATGTGATGCGTTTCTCTTGTTCATTATAATTGCAGGCCATAAATAGAGCTGGTGGAAAAGCGGGTAATAAAGGTGCCGAGTCAGCACTAACAGCTGTAAGTTTTTTACCTTAGCCTATTTAATTGCTGACCATTAATTTTGACATTATTTTTATATTCTCTAATCTGATGTAGACTTTGGAATATGGTCTATATTTTCTCTAGAAAAAGGGGGGGGGGGGGTGGGGTGGCGGCGGGCGCATTTGCTAGTGTCATATAATTATAGATCCAGTATCATAGGGTTGGAATCTTGGTGCGATGCCATTGCACCACCCCGATTCAATGGGATAAAATGTCTAGGTGTAAGGGGCGCATATGCTGTATTTTTGGATCCGCAAAATAAATGCTCGTATCATGACCATCTGACTTATTTTGGCAGATTGAAATGGCTTCGCTCTTTGAACATCATTTGAAGGCCTAAATTTAATATGGTTGATGTAAAAGGTATTTCCCCTGTTCATTGAGCCACTTCAAGGTTTCCTAATTCCCTGAGCTGCTATAAACAAATGAGCACGGGGAAGGAGGGGATTCAGAAACTGAGAGTATTACGTTACATTGGACGTAAGATGAAACTTACCACCCCTCTTGAGCAAAGATAAAATCTTGGGCCTTTTCTTTTCTTTCTTTCTTTTTTTTTTTTTTTTTTTTTTTTTTTTTTTTTTTTTTTTCATTTCATTTGTTTGGTGTTTTGATCGTTTTTGTTGGAATAAATTCTTGTTATGAACAAGGAGCGTTGTTGCCTGAGAATAGTTCAAACTTATGTCTTTTAACTATCATTCTGTAAGTGATTTGCTTGTCAATGTCAACCAAGACAGCGTTCCAAATGTAACCTTTTTAACAGTTTTCTTTTTCGAGTCGTTTGTATTTTTGACATTCTTGAAAGTAAGATATCATTATACCGATGAACAGACGGCCAAATGTTATCCTTCTCTTTATACCCTTTTAAAGTTCTGATATGGGTAATTCTGTGTATTTTTCTGTGGCTACTTATGCAATACAATATCCGAAAATGCTGAATTCTTTGACCTTAAAAAAAAAAAAAAAAATTAGAAAATGCTGAATTTCATATTGAAAAGCTGAGTATGCCTATCTTCATTACCACTCTAGCTTGAATTTCTAAAAAAATAGCCAAAATATTTCAAGCTTAACTTTGAGTATTGTCCTTGTTTCTTCAAAGATCCTTCCTTTTGAGGTCCATACTACAGTAAATTTTTAGTGTTATAGTGGAAGATTTATAGTATACTAAGAGGGAACTAATTTCCTAGAAAAAAGTAATCCAAGACTCCAAGAGGAACAAATTATTATTTTTTCTTATTACTAACTCCAATTAAATAACTATGGTTTTAAAGTTGGTGCTTTATCAATTCATAATTGGAGTGGATAGTGAAAAGTGATGTAGACAAAATTTGATACCCAAGATCTCGTGTACCATCCTGCGACTTTACTAAGGTTGTTGATAAGATGGGAGGTAAACCTAGAATGGAATCATTACTATAGTTAAGTGCAAATCTTTATCAAAGGTGTTGGAGTATTAAGCAAGAAACATTTGAACTTGTGTGCAACGTGCTAAAATGATGCTTATATTATATCAATGGGAGCACATGAGACATCTAAGATTGAAACATATACTAATCAATAAGAACATTATTTTAAGCAATAACCATATTTTATTGTCCTAGTACAACAGAAATATTGGACCAAGCTATCTCCATTGGTCCTTTGAGATTCCTAGACAAAATTTTGCTTAAGATATTCAATAAACAAAACCATTTTGGATCAACAAGAATAAAGCAAACAAAAGAAGGGACGAAGAAAGTGATTAGTGATAATAAGAAACTTCGAATCAAAGTCAGATGAAGTTCCTTAAAACAAATTAACAAATTCTCTACAATTAAGGAATGTCAGCTGTTGTTTTGTACCATAATAATATTTCAAAAAAACAGTATGATTCATGTTGTAATAAACCATGCTGCAGCGGCCATGAGGAAGAAACCTTAATATTCCCCCTGTCTATGCCTTCTTCCTTGGTTTAATGCAACTGTCAAATATAATACATTGCTCGTAAAATCGAAATCATACATTATTTTGTAACAAATTAAAGGCAATAATATTCATATTTTGTAATGGTGATTTTGCATTTAGCCTCAATAGTTCCTACCAATATCAAACATACACTTCTAAGGTCGCCCCATAATGAAGTCAGAACTCGTAAAAAGTTTCTATTATCAGTTTGTTCAAGTATGGCCATGCCAAATTTTCAGCATGCAGATCAACTTCTTTCAGTTTCACCTCAGGAAAATCAGGTTTTTGACTTAATCCTTTACATATAATGTTCATTTTATAGATTTTAGGCTTTACTATATTTTATAATGTCAGGGGTGGTTTTTGACTTATGTTAGGGGGATTGTGCATGTAAGAGTGTTGCAGCAATATTATTTGGAAATGGTTCAGACTGCAAGTTATGCCCATTGATGAGAAGACGGTCAGCAGGCGCTATTCCACTTGGAGCAAAATACAGACTGATAGATGCTGTTGTAAGCAACTGCATTAACAGCAACATAACCAAGTTGTATGCTCTAACACAATTTAATTCCACTTCTCTCAATTCCCACCTTACAAGAACTTATTCGAATGTGGGTCTTGGGAAAGAGGAGTTTCTTCAAGTTATTGCTGCATGTCAAAGCCCAGAAAATCAGAGCTGGTTTCAGGTCAAGAACATTTTTTTTTTGTTAGAAGTCTCTTAGCAAATTGTTGGAGATGTTCTATGTTACTCAGACTTGGGTACTACATCTGATTTGGCTAATTTTTTTAAGCAAAATCCATGCTTTAAATCCTAATGAAGTCAGTGTCCATACACATGTCGGATTGTCTGAGATTCAACAAAATAGCAACACAGCACCTAAGGAGAAAGGAAGAGTCTGTGAACATGTTTATGGTTTTTTTTCGGGTTCTTATAGTCCTTCCATGTAATATACTTATTTTTCTTATTTGTAAATGGCAGGGAAATGCTGATGCTGTTAGGAGATTTTTGTGGATGCTAGAAGAGTGCCCTGCCACAGAGTTTCTTATCCTCCCTGGCTATCATCTTTATAGAATGGATTACCAGGACATTCTTCAGCTCCACCACGAAACAAGAGCTGATATAACTATTTCAGCTCTAAGATTAGAGGAAAGGCATGACAAAGGCTTTGGTATTTTGAAAGTAGATTCAGATAATAAAGTACTTGAAATATTTGAAAAAGAGACTGCGTTTCCTTTGGTGAGTTGCTTGGACTGTAATAATTTCATCACTAAGAAGCTATAAAGTTCTTCTGACTAAATTTTCTCGAAACACAATCAGGTAGGAAATGTCAGAAATTCCGAAGATAACAACCATACTACTTATGCAAGCATGGGCATCTACGTCATTAGCAAAGATGTGATGGTAAATATTCTCAAAGAAGACCTTTCATGGGCAAATGACTTCAAGAGTGAAGTGATTCCTGGTGCTGTATCATTAGGAATGAAGGTATGGAGAAATATTGCTTTGATTAAATCAACTAAATCATTCAAAGGGAAGAATTGTCATGTTGTGCTCTTATATATTATTGAGATAGGAACATATATTGTGATATGATATTATGAGAATAATATCATATGAGATATTATTGTGAAAAAATATATGTGATATATTGTGATAGCTTTAGGAAGTTAAGATAATTAGGAATATTATGGTTAGATATTCCTATTGTCTATATATATTGTAATATGGTCGAAGTATAAAGTTTGAGGCATAAATTCATTTTAATATATATATATATATAAACCAATATATATAAACTCTATATATATATATATAAACCAATATATATAAACTCTTTAACCAAGATAGCTCATTTTTATATAAAGTTTGAGGATAAATTCATTGTTCACTTGAAGGAAAATACATCATACTACATTCTCTGTTAAACTGAATTCTAACTGTAAGCATATTAATTCTTCAAGCAAAAGTCATTACACAGTTTAATTTTCATATGATTTCATAAATTTCACGTGAATCCATCTGCACGGCAGCTAGTTCTGTATCTAGGTGACTGATTCTGATTAATTGTAGATTTCAATTTTTCAAAATGTCATGTCGAAAAAGATGGTTTGAATTCACAGTTTGCTGAAAAAGTTTTCCTTTCGTTCTATTGGCCAAATCTAGGTTCAAGCATATCTATTTGACGGATATTGGGAAAACATGCAAAGTATAAAGGGATTCTATGACGCCAACATGGAAAGCACAAAGACAACAGACATAAGATTCGAGTCAGTATAAATCACTTGATGAAAAAAAGATGTTCTCTTCTCCCTTAAAAATAAAAATACATATACCTTGTTTGAATGTCCCTTGGAGAAGTATATTGCATTCATTCTCCCCTTTTTTCTCTCTACCTTTTCACTCTCCTACTTCTCTGCGCAGAAGTCAATGCATATTTCTTCAAGGGACTGAGGGAGTATATTAAACTTCAACTGTCAAATGGTCAGTACATCTACTAAAAATCATTGATATAAGTCTTCTTAAGTCTAATATATACACATTTAACCCTTTTGTTCACAGCTTCTGTGATAGCGACTTTCCTCTCTATACTTTGCCTCGGCGTCTGCCTCCAACAAGAGTAACCGATGCAGTAATTATTGACAGTGCCATAGGAGATGGCTGTCTCCTCCATGTAAGAATCCCACATCCTAGCAAAAACTAGTCATTTTAACTTGTTATATTTCTCATCTGAATAAGCACAGTTCTGAGGTTTACAAAAGCCTATTTATAAAAACGGCACCTAAATTACCATGACTTTTAAAAAAGTTTTCCATTTACTGAACTATAATAAAATTTACTGAAGGTTAAAAGTTTTACTAATTTTACTTATTAGTGGATCATTTCTTGTTGGTAACCCCTTTATTTTAATTCTTATAAGAGCAGAGGTGCAGAATCAAAGGCTCAGTGATAGGTCTTGGAACAAAAATTGATGATGCAGCTGCGATAGAAGATTCAATTTTAATGGGATCTGATATCTACCAAGTAAGCGCTAAGGCTAATAGTAAAACTATTAACTACCCCTTATGTGTCGAATGTGATAATGATTTGCATGTCTTAGACTTGGGTTCTATGTGTTCCAGCATGGATAGTTAAACTCGGCTAATTTATGAAAAATTTCATACTATTAACTATTGGTACAAAGAAAAGTATCTAGTGTCCCAAAACTCCCAACCCTTTTTAGAGTGTCAATGATCTCACATAAGTACTTGAGGGGAAATAAAGTACTCGGTTAACATAGGTTTGCAATAAAATAGCCTCAAAGATCAACTTGCTTACTTTTCTTTTCCTCTTTTCAATATGAAATACCCACTTTATGCTTAATTTGACTAAGCTATCTAGCATTACCTGTGATTTTGAAAAGCTATATACAACTTCATTACTTAGATATTAATTTGTACTCGAATCTCACAAAATCCTAGATGAAAAGAGTGTTATCATTAGTATTCTCATACATTACCTTCAATTGTTCATTACTCATCTTCAACTTATTCTGTAAACAAACAGGAAAATTTTCTGCAGAACATGGAAACAAAGACATCATCGAAAATTCCGATTGGAATTGGGCAAGGATCATTCATAAGGAAAGCTATAATAGACAAGAATGCAAGAATTGGCAAAAGAGTCAAGGTAAAAGAAGCTGAAGTTTTCTCATATCAACACATTAGGCCTGAAATCTTTATGTTAACATCAACAATTAGTGTCTATCATTGTCTGAAACTCATGAAAGCAAAGAATTCCCGTAAGTTTATAAATGATATCATGAACTAAGTTTACTTGAACGTTTGCAGATTATAAACAATGATAATATTCAGGAGGGAAGCAGAGAAGATGAAGGGATAGTTATTCGTGAAGGGATAGTGATCATAACTAGGAACGCAATAGTCCCTGATGACACCATCTTATAGTGATGCAGAAGCTATTTATAAGAACTTCAACACCATTCTTTCAACAGAACAAGGAAAAACAGACACATCAATGCATTTGTAACACAGTAAGGCCAAGAACTATGTCTTTTGGTATCACTCTGTAGCACCATGAAAATTTTAATAGTGCTATGAAAGTGAGATAGTATACCAACAATTATACTACAGAGTACAAATAAATAACATTTTTTTGTTCATCTGATTGAGAAGAACTATACATGATGGAAATTCTTACTTGAAAGACATTTTCGATCATAATGTGTAAAACATTCATGAATTTAGTTGGTGTATCAACAAATATTCAAAGAACAACAGATATATAAAAAAAATAAAATAATAAAAAGTAGCATGACAAGTTGCAGTGAAATTTTATTATACAATGTACAAAATTATATATTGCATATACTAGTAATAATGTTAAATGACGTAACTCAACCAAAAACTAAAGCTAATGGTCGAGGAGCCTCTGTCACGCTTGCTCACATGCGAGCCCGTTGGGCTAGTGCTAAATATCCCACTTGAAAGGAGGGGTGAACAAATTTGATATCACCACCTTCGTTGTTGCAATCACCAATCCTGCAGCTTCTGCTTCATGATGTATTCAGCTGAGCGGGCACAACAGGCGGGGACTAGGCACCGCAATGAGTCGACTCACCTTCGAAACAGTGAGTCCAAATGTTTCATCCATATTTAGTTCACTCGGCTTCATCCCATCAGGCAACTCCCACGTAAAACAATGGAGTAAGTTTGCCGCGCACAACTCAAGCGTGTATAACGCTAACCCCATACCCGGGCAAGACCGTCTACCCGATCCAAAAGGTATAAATTCAAAATTAGCCCCTTTAAAATCGGGTGCACCCTCTTTAAGGAACCTTTCGGGTTTGAACGTGTCTGGATCAGACCATGAGTTCGGGTCTCTTCCTATAACCCATGTATTGATCACGACTCGTGATCGTTTAGGAATGTAGTATTTTCCTATGACCGCATCCTTAGCAGTCTCGTGGAGCAAGAGCGGGATTGGTGGGTGCATACGTAGTGTCTCTTTTATGCAACATCGAAAAAATGGGAGCTTATCAAGATCCGATTCGTTGACCCGTCGTGTTAAACCAACAACGTTAAAAAGCTCTTGTTGGACCCGTTTCATGTATTCGGGGTTGCGTAATAATTCTGTCATTACCCATTCTACTGCCCATGTTATTGTTTCCGTTCCTCCAAACATCATGTCCTGTATAATTATTGTAAATCGGCCTATATTAGACTACTTACACCCATCCATATTTAATTATTTATACTACTATTGATATTTGATAATGCATCTATATTGACTATATACCCACTGATATTTTGCTACATGATACATCAATATTAACATTATTAATCAAGTATTCAACATTTCTAAGTCGATTATGCATCCCTCATCACAATCTTTTTCATGAGTAGCTAGCTTACTGTCTTTTCTACCTCTCTTCGGCATCACTAAAACAGGGGTAAGTTGTATTTAATTAATCCTTTATAGAATAATATTATTATAGTTATATTATACAAAAATTTATATTCGGAATATTTGTATAATATAACTATAATGATATTATTCTAAATCTTATATATTATCTTTACATAAAATGTATTTCTTTTTATTTCGTATTCTTATTTCTTCCATACACATTTACCTAAAATATTATTCCATTTCTTAATTATAGAAAAAGTGAGCCACTAGTTTAGGTACAATATACTATTATTACCGCCTAGACATGTTTTAGATGGAGTACTAGATTAATTCCCGTGCGATGCACGGATTTAACCAAAAAATATTTCGTAAAGTTGTAAATTATTAAAATTAAATTAGTTTTTAAATAAATAAGCAACTTTACTACAATAATAATATATTATACTCTTTAATTCAATGATAATCAAATTAACAAAGATAAGGAAGCGTAGCGCTTAAATAAAAATGAAAACAAAAAATGGTGCAACACTTTAAAAAAGTGGAGTGAGCGATAACAATTATACTTTGTATGTGTAATGTTATTTTGTAAGATTAAGTTAACATATTTCTAATTTAAAGTATTAATTGAATTGAAATTTTTTTGTAAGATAAAGTGAAGATATTTCTATTATGAAGTATAGATTAAATTTTGTAAGATTAAATTAACAATCATACTTTGCATGTGATATATTATTTGTAATTTATATATTTACATATATCTTGTGCTAATAGTATTATTGTAGATTTTTCTGTTGTTTGAGTAATATTTTCATATTTATTAAAAAGCATTTATTAATAAATCTTTAGTCATATACACTAAATTGTATAGTTTTATTGGGAAATAATATGCACCATTAATGCAATATATTGTATACGACTTTTAAATATTTTCAACACAACTAATCAACAATATTTCGTTTTTCTCAATCGTAGTTTTAATAATTTTTGTCTTATTATTTTATTTTTCAATATGTGTTGCATTTGTTTATTCCACATAAGTTGCCTCATTTTTGTATTATATCGCAATTAATTATGGGAAAAAGATTATTACAACCGTGCATAGCACGGGCACTAATCTAGTATTTACGTATTGACAAGTGCTTTGATGATATCAAAATTATAAATTATTAAAAGCAAATGTTATCATGTAAAAAATATGGAAAATTTGCCAATTGCAGCCATTTAAAGTTTGTATTTTGCAAATTGCAGCCATTTAAAATAAAAAATTGCAAATTGCAGCCAAAATACTAATAAATTGTAAATTGCAACTCAATTTAATTTTTTCATCGATTTGCGTTCCAAAAATTGTTCGATTTAGATTTTAGAGGCCATTTTAGTTCTTAAGGGTCCAAATTGAGCTTGGAATTGGCAAAAAATTAACATAAGTGCCTCGTTTTCACAGCAAAAAATAGTTGCACACAAATCGATACATTTTTTATACGCAAAACGAGACACTTACATTAGTTTTTGCCAATTCCGAGCTCAATTTGGATTTAAAATGGTCCCTAAAACCTTAACGGAATATTTTTTGGCACGCAAATTTATGAAAATATTGAATTGGGTTGTAATTTACAATTTTTTAGTACTTTTAGGCTGCAATTATTTTTTTTGAAAATGACTACAATTTGCAAAAAAAATAAATTTAAATAGCTGTAATTGACAAATTTTTCAAAAAATAATGATTATGTGAAATTTTGTTACTTTTCTACCTACAAAATATATTATCTTTTGACGATCTATATTAATATACGTAACAAATGTATGCTTACCATGATAATACCTTTGATGTTTTCCTTAGTAAGCTTGATAGGTTCTGTGGAACTTCCTGCTTTATTAAGTTTGGCATCCTCACTGTAAAAGTTCAACAACTCATCCACCACATCAAGATCTTCTTCAACTTTATTGTCTTGTTTTACATGTTCATTATTAGTTGCCTTCTTCTTGGCATGATCATCAATAATCGGATCTATGAATCGGTCCAATGCAGTCCGGGCCTTAACTAGCCGGTCATTAAGCCCATTCGGGTCAACCCAAGTGAGAAACATGATAAAGTCCGCAATATTAAACGCTCCAAAAAGCTCCGAAAACTCCTGCAGGATGGCAATGAACTCATCCTGCCCCTCGGAGAATTTGGACCCAAAGGCGGCCCGGTATATAACATTCTTAGTAAGATTAAACACGTGATCCACGATATTAACGGGACACCCAGTCCGGCCCGAAAGGGCCCAGACGATGTGGTCTACCTCGTCGCGGACGGACTGCCATGACTCGGCCCGTTTCCGGCTAAAGAGGTGCATGACGCATAGCTTGCGCATCTTACGCCAAAAAGGGCTGTAGTGTGCGAAAACCATGTCGGCCCTTTCATAGGTGAGGTAGCTGATGGCAATGCTGGCGGGCCGGTTGGAGAAGACGCTGTCTTGGACTTGTAGAACTTCTCGGGCCTCATCCGGGCTGGAGACCACCATTATGTGTACCATGCCCATCTTGAGGTGGAACAGCCCGCCATAACGTTTGGCCATCTTGGCTAGCCCGTGGTGGGTCAGCTGGCCCATCATCGCTATGTTGCCAATGATGGGCAGGCCCGTTGGGCCTGGCGGGTATGGCTTCCGCCTTACCCTTGAAATGATGCCTAGTATAAACATGGGTAGTGCTATAACCAACAACGTTGATTTCAACACTAGAAATAGTTGCTCATGCATTTTTATTCTTTTTCCCTATAGTTAGAATTATTATAGCTAGCTTTATTTTGCCTTAAATAATTAACTGTATTTTCTCTCTTGTTATTATGATAGGAGATATTAATGGTGTTCAATTATATACTACTAGGTGTTGGTTTGTTTGGAAAAGAAATAAAATAAAAAAAAAAAAGAAAAAAAAACAACTTGTTCTACCAACTAAATCCAATAATACGAATCGGTTAAACTTGACAAACAACTAGGGCATGTTTCATGTTTAACATTAAAAAATAATGGATGTATTCCATTAATAATCCTTTTGTTTTATGACTCTTCCTGTTCATATATATTTGTCTTTATGCATTTATTTCAATGCTCATACTTAAATATCAATTTCTTCAACTACGTATTAAAAAAAAAAAAAAAAGAAAAAAAAAAAAAAAGTATATGTATAAAAAGCTGATTTTTTAGACTATATATTGCGATGAATCTTAAAAGGTCACTTGTCACTAGAGTTTAGTCTCCAAACTATATTTTATTATTCAATATATTAAGCTATATTAACTCTTACACATGGCAAAAATAACTTAATTTGAGTATGATTTTAAATCCACTCACACACACGCATCAACGCAAGGCGAAAATGACATTTGATATTCAACTAGTTTTCACAAATGTTTAATAAAGGCGGATTTACAATAACTTTGTGTGTGGCGGAATTTTTGGGAAAGCATTTACTTCCCTCACACGTGCCATTTCTTAATTGCCAAAAGAAACAATAATTTTCTCTCTCTTCCTCATTTATTCAGACAACCACTTTATCTCTCTTCCTCATTTTCTCTTGCGATTTTCTCTCTCTTCAACCGGCGATTTTCTCTCTCCTCAACCGGCGACTTTTTGGCGATTTTCACTCTTCAACCGGCAATTTTCTCTCTCTTAAGGTTTGTTCACTAGTAGAAAAAAAGAAATAGGCAACCCCCCTATGGCAACGGTTCATGAAAACCGTTGCCAACTTAAGTGAGCGCCATTTTAAATATCAGAGTTGGCAACGGTTAACCGTTGCCAATTTTTTTTTTTTAAAAAAAAAATAAAATAAAAAATTGATTAACGTTGGCAACGGTTAACCGTTGCCAACTGCGTTTTTTTTAAAAAAAAAATAAAAAATAAAAGGTAAAGGTTTGGCAACGGTTAACCGTTGCTAAATTTTAAAAAAAATTGCGGGTTTTGGTTCCTTACTCTCACTGTTCATCAACGTCTTCATTCATTCAATTGCAAAAAAAAAAAAAAAAAAACGTTCTGCCAAATTGTGTTTCCCTCCTCCCTTCTTCATTCAACTCCCCTCTTTGTTCCTCCATTGAAGTGCTGCAGCTTTCTCACCTCCGTTGAAGACAACACTCGCGTCGTACCTATGTCCAAACTCCCTCCATTGAAACAGCTTCAACCTAATTAAGGTAAGTTCGTAGCAATTAGGTTTTACAATTGATGAACTCCTTCGAGTTTTTGGTGGTTTTGATTTACAATTTAGTAATTATTAGTTCCTGTAATCTAGGTTTGTCAATATAGACGCGCATTGCCCCCCCTCCACGTACAACAACATTCTTCTCGCTCTCACGGTTGGTCTAAGGCGCCATTTCAGGTACTTGTTCGAAACCCATTATTCATGACATACAATTACAAAGAATATTTGCTTTACAATTTAGTTGTTGGTTGTGTTGTTGATTGTGAAAAAAAATAGGGGGCAGTGGGGAGTAAGGCTGGTGGAGAGAGATGCATGTATAAGGGGGCATAAGGGGGCAGTGGGGAGTAAGTATAAGGGGGCAGTGGGGAGTAAGGCTAGTGGAGAGAGATTCCCTTCTCATAACTGTTGGGTGAAGCCGGGTTTGGGCAATGTTAGAGCCCTGTGGTCTGTGCTCCTGTTGTATTGCAGCTTCTCAAATAAGTTCTGCCCTGTGCTCTGTGCTTCTGTTTCTGCTGCCTGTGTTTTTTTTGGTTTCTTGATGTATAGCTTGGGCTTGTTTTAGCCTTGGTGTTTTTGTTTTATTTTTTCTTGTTTGTTTTGGTGTTTGGTTGTTTTGTTTGGTTGTGTATAGTTAGTCTCGGGTTTTGGTGTTGTTTTTTTTACAAGGTTGGTTTTGATTGGGTGGTTGTTTGCCCGAAGGGCTTGTGTAGTTTAGCGGTTACAGGTTTTTGTATTCTTGTAACTGTTTTCGTTTGGTAATAAATTTTTCTTATTTACCCAAAAAAAAAAATATAAAAAAAAAGATACAAATCTCTTTAAAGTAAACTAATTCAATTTAAAAGTAAAAGCTCAATTGAATGCTAAATATAAAATCTTTGAGTTTGTGCTAATTGGGGTGCTTGGTTTTTTAAAGTTGGTTAAAGAGTTTAAGAAGTATGTTGGGGATGTTTCTGGTGGTGTGCGCAGGGAGGTTTTTTCAAACATTTAAGCATCTAAGGCACTTGTATGTTGGGAGTTCATTGATTGTTAACTACTTACTTACCTATATCTACTTACTTACCATTTTCTCGTTCTCTTTAATCATATGTCCCTATTTGTATTTATTATCCATTTCTCATACATACTAACTTTTAATTTGTTTTTTCTTTTTGCGTTTTTATAGGTTCATATGTGAATTGAAGTTCAAGCTAGTTAAGTTTGAAGACTACACATTAATTTAGCTCAAGTGGGAAGTTAGAAAGAATACATCCATTGTGTTGGTATGAATTATAAACTTCTCTAAGCTATAAATATTTCTTTCTCTCTATTATTGTTTTAATAAAAGTTTTTTCATGCTAGATATTAGATTTGTGTATTATATAATGACAAACTAAATACAACAATAAATATATGAAATGTTTGCATTGCATCATCATATGCCTAGATACCCATTCAAGGCTTTCTCATTAGGAGAAAGTCTTGAATAGTCCCCGGTTGGGACTGTTCTTGAACGTTTACTCTCACTTAGGTGGTGAATGTATGTCTTTTTTTTTCGATTTTAAGGAACATCCTGGCTTACCATTTCCTCGATCACCATGCTCTCTGGGTACATATGTGGGTAAGTAATTACCTACGTCGTGTACTTGGAGAACTGGGGGGGAAATGCTGCCGGATTTTCCTTAAAATTGGAAAGTTGACATACATTCACTAGTGAGAGTAAACGTTCAAGGATGGGTTAGGTTGGAGTGATAAGGACCCTTTGGAAGCATATATTCATTTGTGTATGTATATGAAAGTTATATGCGTGGTGTGTGTTTGAATTTGATTTATATATATAGTAGATGTAGCAATTATACATTATTCGTAATATGTTGCCATGTTTAGAGACAATTTACTTAATGGAGAAGGATCATGGATGGATGTATGGTAGACGTGATACATTGGAATTCTTTAATGGGGTTCAAGAGTTTTGCGAGACGGCTTCATCTTATCAGCGCAGAATGGGTTTCGAGTGCCTCTATTGTCCTTGTGTTGATTGTAATAATGTGAAGGTGGTCAATAGTGTTGATATCATTAGAGATCATGTAGTTTGTCGTGGGTTTAGGGTTAAATATCATGTGTGGATTTGGCATGGTGAAGAAGGAGAGTACAGTGGGGATGTTATTGGGTATGATGTGCATGATGATAGAAGCAATGATATCCATGTGGACGAGGAATACAAGAATGATGAACATATTGTTGATGATGGTGCTGAGGAGGGATTTGAGGATGATGTTGTGGATGAGGTTGAGGATGAAGGTGTGGATGAGATGATGCGTGGTTTTGAAGGTGACGTGTTTGAGTCATTATCGGAGGCTTCTAAAAAGCCTTTGTATCCTGGGTGCAAAAAATACTCCAAACTATCAGCCGTGCTTACTCTTTTTAACATTAAGTCGAAGCATGGGTGGACGGACAGTAGTTTTACTTCCTTGTTGAGCGTGTTAAGTGAGATGTTACCCGATGGGAATGAAATTCCTAAGTCTTACTATTACGCTAAGAAGCTCATGTGTCCATTTGGTTTTGAGTATAAGAAGATACATGCATGTCCTAATGATTGTATTCTTTACCGAAATGAATATGAACAATTGGAGGAGTGTCCAAGATGCAAGAAGTCGCGCTACAAGCGCAAGAGTTGCAATGCTGGTACGAAGGGACCTCCTGCTAAGGTGTTGTGGTATCTTCCCATAATTCCAAGGTTTAAGCGTCTGTTCTCTTTACCAAAAGACGCTAAAAACTTGAGGTGGCATGCAGAGGGAAGAAAGAAAAACAGAATGCTGAAGCACCTAGCCGACTCCCCGCAATGGAAGAACCTTGATATGAAGTTTGGGGAATTTGGTGATGAAGTCAGAAATTTAAGGCTTGGTTTGTGCACGAACGGGATGAATCCATTTGGCACTCTTAGTACCCAGCACAGCACATGGCCGGTACTTTTAGTGATCTACAATTTTCCTCTTTGGTTGTGCATGAAACGGAAATATGTAATGCTTTCACTCTTGATATCAGGGCCAAGGCAACCTGGAAACGACATAGATGTGTATCTTGCGCCATTGGTTGATGATTTGAGAAAGATGTGGGACGAAGGGGTTTCCGTGTTTGATGCTCATAAGAATGAGATGTTCACATTGCGTGCAGCTCTTATGTGGACCGTTAATGATTTTCCTGCATATGGCAACTTGTCTGGGTATAAGAATAAAGGGAAAAAGGCATGTCCCATTTGTATTGATGATACGCCAAGCAGACGCCTTGATCATTCTTTCAAACAGGTGCATTTGAGGACAAGAAGGCTGCTCAGGCGCGATCACCCGTACCGTCGGCAGAAAAAGGCTTTCGATGGGACGGTGGAAGAGGGGACTGCTCCTAGGCCACTGACTGGTGAGGAGGTTTACGCTCGGGTTAAGGGTGTACGAACAGTATTTGGGAAATCTGAAAAAGCGGCGGAATCAGTTGCTCTCTTTAAAAAAGAATCAATCTTTTGGTTGCTCCCGTACTGGAAAGAACATGACGTTAGGCACTTTCTTGATGTAATGCATATAGAGAAGAATGTGTGTGACGCTCTTGTGGGAACGCTGATGAATATTCAAAACAAGACAAAGGACGGAAAGGGTGCACGTTTAGATTTGGAAAAGATGGGGGTGCGTCCAGAATTGTGGGTTCAGCAAAGGGTTAGTAAGGGAAAGGAACATGAAAAGGAAAAAGAAATGGGTTCGAAAAAGGGAAAGGGGAAGAGCAAGGGAAAGGGAAAGGCCGCGGATGCGTCGAAGAAGAAAAATGAGGGAAAAGCCAAAGAGGGGAAGGCCTATTTACCTCCGGCTTGCTACACATTGTCAAGGGTAGAAAAACGGAGGTTTTGTGAATGTTTGTATGGCATTAAGGTTCCATCAGGGTACGCATCTAACATGAAAAGATTTGTATCCTTAAATGGAGAATTGAAGCTGACAAGTATGAAATCCCATGATTGTCATGTTCTGATGCAAGTTTTTCTACCAATTGCAATACGTGGTATTTTGCCAAAGCACGTAAGGGAAGCTATTACAAGCCTCTGTTCGTTTTTCAATACAATATGTAGCAAAGTGCTTGATCCTTGTACCCTTGATGCTTTACAAGCGGATGTGGTTGTGACTTTGTGCAAATTTGAGATGTACTTCTCGCCCTCGTTTTTCGACATAATGGTGCATTTGATTCTTCATTTGGTGCGTGAGATTAAGTTGTGCGGTCCAGTGTTCTTGAGGTGGTGCTATCCTTTTGAAAGACACATGGGTACATTGCAAGATAAAGTTAGGAATCGGGCTCACCCGGAAGGAAGTATGATTCAAGGGACCGTGGCCGAGGAGATTGGGAACTTTATGGCCGACTATGTAGCCGTTGCTGAACCTATTGGTATTCCTACTTCTCGACATGAAGGTAGACTTGATGGTCATGGCACAATCGGGTCGAAACTAATGTCACCTGATCGAGAGAAGTTCTTACAAGCACACCTTTATGTCTTGCACCATGTTGCAGATGTTCACCCATATTTAGACGAGCACATGGCTAGTTTGCGTGATGAGTTTCCGTCGAAAGGTGAAAGGGCACTGATGTAGTTGCACAATAAGAAGTTTGTGAGTTGGTTTCGTGATCGAGTGATGGGTGGAATGGATGAGAGTGTCACAGCTACAGTAAGGTGGCTTGCTTATGGTCCTAGGGATGATGTTCGCTCATTTGAGGGATATGACATAAATGGGTACACATTTTGGACTGAGCGTCAAGATTTGAAATCGTCCTCGACCCAAAACAGTGGTGTAACGGTTGTGGCATCGTCAAGGGAGTTTGCAAGTGCTAAGGATAAATCACCTGTTGATGCAGAGTTGTCATACTACGGTCGAATTCAAGAAATATGGGAGCTTGATTATTGTGACTTTACGATTGCTCTTTTCCGGTGTAAGTGGGTTGATAATATCAGGCGTAACGTCAAATTTGATGACTTTACTCTTGTAGATCTTGGCAACCTGAATGATAGTGCGGAACCATTCATCCTTGCATCTCAAGCTAAGCAGATGTTTTACGTATCTGACCCTGCCGACTCAAAATGGTCTATTGTGCTAGCCGGCAAAAGAAGAATCCTTGGCGTTGGAGATGTCGAGGATGAGGAAGAATATGATGCCTTTGATGACTCAGCACCTTTCACTGTTCCTAGACCTGCTGTGCCAAATGAGATAGACGACCAAGCCAATTACATGAGATCAGACCACGATGAAGGAATATTAGATTGAGGTACTGTATATTTTTTGTTAGTTTGAATTGCAGGCGTAGAAAGAATTAAAAAATCACATTTTAGGTGAAAATGAATGAAATTGTTGAATTACTTGCCCATTTTTCTTATATTCTTTTAATTGAATAAAGTAACTTGCATCACCATTTTCTATGTTTATTTGTATTATAATTCAGCAATTTATATATGATTATAAGTTTACCTTACAATTCAGCAGCTAATAACGTGTTATGTTTGTAATGACAGGTTTTAACATCTAATGGCGGACGATCGATTCCGTGTTCGAGTTGAGGATGTTGAATCTAACTCAGATGATTCATCTAATGATGGGGACCAGCCGTATGATGTGAACAAGGAAACTGATTTGGGTGAGCCAGAAGATCAGGCGCAAGATGTATTGGAGAGAATGATATATGACTTTGAAATTGTAGCTGAGCAAGCGCCTTCAATCGATAATGACATGATGGAGTCGTTTCGTGAGGATCAAAGTGGAGGGGGGGTGCAGGCACCAGCGAAGAAAAAGCAGAGGGGTCCGACGACAGCTTTCAAGAAACCTGTCGGTCCTATGGTCTTGGAGTATGACAGGGTAGGGCAACCCTCAGGTAAATGACGTCGTCAGTATGCTGGTCAAGTTGGGATTTGTGCGCGCAAAATCCCCATTACGCTTCGTATGAGAGACGTACCTACAGGCTTGATTGACACGTTTTGGAATGATACCAGAGTAAGTTTGATTTGATGTGATTATTTATAAACAATTTCAATTTATTGTTATGTTATTGGCAAACTAATAATGTTTGTTATTTGTGCTTGCAGAGTCTATTTAACATTCCAAATGAGTACGCCAAGCGAAGGGTGTTTGAATCCTTACTTGCGATAAGATTCAGAAGCTTCAAGTGTAACTTAGTTCGTCGGTTTATCACAAAGAAACTTGTGAGGAAACCAAAGAACAAGAAAGGAGGTGGCAGTGATGATGATGTCATCGATGAAGAGAAACTCCCTTGGCAAATATGGCCTAGCATATCGAAGGATGATTGGGAAGCTTTCGTTCAGCAAAAATGTAAAAAAGAAGAAATTGTAAGTTTAAAGAACTCTGATGAAAATTGTGTTGTAATTTATCGTCTTTTTTATTAGTAATGAAACTAACATATATATCTTTTTATGTAGGAAATGAGGGAGCAGAATTCCAGGAATGCATTGCAAAAGTAATACCACCATCATATGGGAGCAATGACGTATGATGAATGGAGGGATACGTGGGTGAGTGAAGGAGTATACCCCACTGCGCTTCTAGGGTCCTCCACAGCGCCGTCTGACTCCACGACCAGTACTTTGGTGAGTCGTGCTGGGGATTTCTTTTGCTCTATGCATTCGCGGGACAAGAAGACCGGAAAATGGTCCATCAAGGCTCCGGAAACCAAAGAAATGACAGATAAGCTAGTAAGCAACTATGAACTAGTGAACTACTTTATTCATTTGCATGTATATCACTTTATATAAACACTTACTTCATGTTGCCATTTTGTTTTTGCTACAGCTTGAGTACACTGGAGAGCTTGTTGAAGGCAAGCTCGTCCCGACGGTAGAGAAGGATCCCTTCACCTTGGCTATGGGAAAGCCCTACCATCCGGGATGGGTATTAGGTGCTGGGGGGAGCTTGCTAGGATGGGAGAAGGTAATGGGTCCCGAATATACCAAATCTGGAAGATCCCGAGCAAGTGTGAACTCGCCACAGAACTTCGATGCCACAGTGGCATCAATTAAAGAACAAGTGCGCAATGAGATGCGTGAAGAGTTCAATGCATGGGTGAAGCAAATGAATTTGCCGACCTTGCCCTTTTCCTCGACAACACCGGCCGACTCAAGTAGCCACCCACGAAGAGAAGGAGAACAGGAGATAAATGCACGCGAGGAGGTACGTGATTAGAATTCAACTCTATAAGTTTTGATATGTTGAGTTACGGGGGTACGGTTCTAATTAATGTTTCACTATCAATACACTATTGCAGATTGGTACTCCTTCACATGCGAACTCAAGGGGGCTTGATACTCTGACACCTCATGACTTTCCTATTCTACAGGTGATTTTTTACTTACTTGTTTGTGATAATGATATTTGTTTTTGGATTGTGTTGTGTTGTTGGTGTTGCTTTGTTGATGTGATGTGTTGTTGTTGTTTGCTTCTCCTTCTCCTTCTCCTCCTCCTTCTCTTTCTCCTTCTCCTTCTCCTCCTTCTCTTTCTCCTTCTCCTTCTCCTTCTCCTTCTTTCTCCTTCTCCTTCTCCTTCTCTTTCTTCTCCTTCTCCTTCTCTTTCTTCTCCTTCTCTTCTTTCTTCTCCTTCTCTTCTCTTCTCCTTCTCCTCCTCCTCCATCTCCTTCTCCTCCTCCTCCTTCTCTTTCTTCTCGAGGAGGCTGCAGCACAGCGAGGAGGCTGCAGCTGTGCAGCACTGCAGCAGCTGTACAGCCTCCTCGCTGTGCACACGCTGCCCTTCCCGCCCGGTTTCCGTTTTTTTTTTTTTTTTGCACTCGTTTTGTTTTTTTTTTTCCTTTTTTTTTGCGCCTAAGATACTTAGTTATGAATATTTATGGCTTGAAACAACATAAGAAAAGCAATTTCACAAGTTTTAGGTTCATTTAAAGTGTTTACGGTTCAAAATGGCCAAAATGAGTTCTAACTTGCCCATTTTTCATGATTTTAGCTCAATGCTTGAATTAACTCCTATATTACACCTAAGATACTTAGTTATGAATATTTATGGCTTGAAACAACATAAAAAAAGCAACTTTACACGTTTTAGGATCATTTAGAGTATTTACGGTTCAAAATGGGCAAAATGAGTTCTAACTTGCCCATTTTTCATGATTTCAGCTCAATGTTTGAATTAACTCCTATATTACACCTAAGATACTTAGTTATGAATATGTAAATGAAGTATCTTCGTAATTGGTGCAGGAAGAGACCCGTTGTGAACTTCTTCACCCGGGCGAATCATATGATGGACCTTTGCATGTTGTTGCCTATAGTAGTGCACAACCGGCCGAACAAGGTATGGTCCATCTTCGACCTCTTCTGCATGAGCATTATTCTGTCGGGATCCATTCTGTGGTTCCCGGGTTCGAGGAGATCTTAATACCTGTGCCCGTGGAGGAGGATGAGTTCACTACACTCTGGGCAGCAAAAGGTAGTTTTGTGCAATGGCCATCTGCTTGGACACGGTTGATGAACCAGGTAATTAAGATTTAGATTTCACGCTTTAATCTTTTCTTCCCAAGAGTTGGATGGAAATCTTTTCTAACCATTTGTGTGGATTTGTCTTATTAGCCATCGAGGAAAAGCCAAACTCCAAAGAAGAGGGTGGAGGGGCCAAAGAACAGGAGTGAACATGGCTCGGTGAGTGGAAAAGCGTCGATGAAGAGCCCTTCACGAGGTTCAACTACGCAAGCTACTCCATTAGTTGAAGACACGGTGCTTCAATCGCTATCTCAGGAGTTAGCTTATTTGCACAACTGTGTTTGCGTGTTGCCTAATGACAGCCCCATCCAGATCCAACTTCCTAAGGAAATGTTCCACTACGATGATGATGTAACGGCATGGCTATTCAAAGAAGATGTGAAGGAATTTCTAAGTGGTGCAATGCTTAAAATTTCCCTCATTCAAATATCGATGAGGTAATTCAACTGGTACTCAATTTATGTTATTCAGTTTAGTGGTGTTTGTCGTTTGGTTTTCGATTAACATTTTGTTATCATGCATGCAGAGCACTCCAGGAGCAAATATGGGAGCTTGAATCTCCTTGTCAAGTTGGGTGGTTGTGCCTTGAGAAGATGTCCACTGCTAGAATCTTAGGCAACTCCGCTGACGTATTGTACTATGGTGAACGGGGTATCAGGCAATCAGTCAGTGCGGGAGACAAGTTTATATTTGTCCCATACTATGAGGAGTATGTCTGATTATGCTAGTCAAGTTCATTTGTTTTCCCAGTTTATTTGTTGTAATAGGCTAACTATTGATTTGTTTGTCTCGTGTGTAGTTATCATTGGACCCTACTTGTGATTTGTGTTTCCAGTAACACAATCTTCTACTTTGATTCTGCTTGGTTACCTCAAGTAAGAAAGCGCCTCGTGAGGTCCATACTGCAAAAGTAAGCATCTAGTTTGTTTCACTTCTTGTTATTCATTTTCATATCTTAACTCATATGTATTGATTATACTAGTCAAATTTGAACTTATTACTTTGATTTTTTGTAGTACCATGAAGAAGATAAATCCTCGATCTCCTCGAGGTCCTACATGGAAAGCACCCAAGGTAATTCACCCATGATGTTGTGATTTTCTTACTTTACAATGCTTAAGATGTTGCTTATTTGCTATGCATTTTGATTCATGTGCTTTGTTCCTCATGCTAGTGCGCACAACAGGAAAACGGAGTTGACTGTGGCCTATACGTGATGAGATTCATGTATGACATAGCGATGAGTCATTGTATAGACACACGTCAGCTTGAAGAGGTATGCCATTTTGGTTGAAATTGCGTCCCAAAACCACTTACTTGCTCTTTTCTTGTAATCTCAAGCATTAGGCACCTATAACTAAGTGATTATGACATGTTTTAACTAGTTATAATATCAATAGACAAGAAATATAGAAAAAAGGCATCCTAGTAGCCAAAATGGCCTTACTTGAGCCATTTTGGTTGAAATTGCGTCCCAAAACCACTTACTTGCTCTTTTCTTGTAATATCAAGCATTAGTCACATTTAACTAAGTGATAATGACATTTTTTAACTAGTTATGAGTTTAATAGACAAGAATTATAGAAAATAGGCATCCTAGTAGCCAAAATTGCCTTACTTGAGCCATTTTGGTTGAAATTGCGTCCCAAAACCACTTACTTGATCTTTTCTTGTAATCTCAAGCATTAGACACCTATAACTAAGTGATAATGACATGTTTTAACTAGTTATGAGTTCAATAGACAAGAAATATAGAAAATAGGCATCCTAGTAGCCAAAATGGCCTTACTTGAGCCATTTTGGTTGAAATTGCGTCCAAAAACCTCTTACTTGCTCTTTTCTTGTAATCTCAAGCATTAGTCACCTATAACTAAGTGATAATGACATGTTTTAACTAGTTATGATTTCAATAGACAAGAATTATAGATAGTAGGCATCCTAGTAGCCAAAATGGCCTTACTTGAGCCATTTTGGTTGAAATTGCGTCCCAAAACCACTTACTTGCTCTTTTCTTGTAATCTCAAGCATTAGGCACCTATAACTAAGTGATAATGACATGTTTTAACTAGTTATGAGTTCAATAGACAAGAAATATAGAAAATAGGCATCCTAGTAGCCAAAATGGCCTTACTTGAGCCATTTTGGTTGAAATTGCGTCCCAAAACCACTTACTTGCTCTTTTCTTGTAATATAAAGTATTAGTCACATTTAACTAAGTGATAATGACATTTTTTAACTAGTTATGAGTTCAATAGACAAGAATTATAGAAAATAGGCATCCTAGTAGCCAAAATGGCCTTACTTGAGCCATTTTGGTTGAAATTGCATCCAAAAACCTCTTACTTGCTCTTTTCTTGTAATCTCAAGCATTAGTCACTTATAACTAAGTGATAATGACATGTTTTAACTAGTTATGAGTTCAATAGACAAGAATTATAGAAAATAGGCATCCTAGTAGCCAAAATGGCCTTACTTGAGCCATTTTGGTTGAAATTGCGTCCCAAAACCACTTACTTGCTCTTTTCTTGTAATCTCAAGCATTAGTCACCTATAACTAACCCCAATTATTATTAATTCACTTCTACTAACTCACGTTTTGTGTATTCTAAATTTTGCAAGGGGCAAACGGGACATCCATACACGAGCGAGGAACTCCATGTAATTCGGGAGATGTTGGCGACCTACATCACATTTAATTTGTAAATATCGTCATACATTTTTGTACTATATCATCTCTTCATCAATCCTAGCCTTAGCTTATTAATTATGTACTATACATGAAACATTTTTCTAATTTATATCATCTCTTGCGATTGTTATTATTAATTATTTATGTTTTGTTATTAATAATACTAATTATTGTTACTATTATCATAATAATTAGTATTATTATTATTACTATTATAATATTAATAATTATTATTATTAATATTAATATTATAATAATAATAATAATTATTATTATTATTAATATTAATATTAATAATATTGCAGCCAAAAAAAAAAAAACAGGTCAATATTAGTGCAGCCAATAAAAAAAAAAAAAAAGAATACAGGTCAATGGCAACGGTTAACCGTTGCCAATATTTAAAAAAAAACAAAAAAAGGCGCGCCATTGTCTTTGGCAACGGTTAACCGTTGCCAATTACTTTTAAAAACAAAAAAAAAAAAAAAAAAAAAGGTGCCATGGTCAATGGCAACGGTTAATCGTTGCCAATTTCTTGAGTTGGCAACGGTTTTGAACCGTTGCCAATTTTTTTGGGATTTGGCAACCCTCAAATACTCAATGGTTCAAAACCGTTGCCAATTTGCTCTTTTCGTGTAGTGGTTTACTTAATTTTTTGAGCATTTCTGCTAGTTTTAGTTGTTTTGATTCTTCGATTTTTAGGTTTTTTGATTTTTTTTCTTTGGTTTTGCTTTTTTGTAGTGTTTGATTTTGCAATGGTGAAGAAGAAGAGTAAAAAGAAGTCGTCAGATTATGAAGGTTCTTTTTCTTAATTTTTTCATGATTTTTTTTTCATAATTTTCAACTCAATTTTCACTTATGAATGTGTTGTTATATGTCGAATTACTAGTGCAT